TTTTGTCATAAGCTAGTTCAGCTGATTTGAAACCTATATCTTCCTTGATGGTTGAACGAGTTCCAGGGAGTACGAGTGGTAGTGCATCGTTCTACTTTAATATGTCAGCTTGTGCCATTAGTGAGCTTTTCAATTGTCTGTGAAATCTTTCGATCAGACCATTAGCTACCGGATGATAAGCTGTGGTTTTGATGTGGTTTACTCTCATAAGTTTGATAAATTCCTGAAATAGGATGGATTGAAACTGGGGACCACGGTCTGTAGTGATGATTGAGGGTAGTCCGTAATTTGATATCCATCGATCAAGGAATATAGCTGCTAGTGTTTCTGCGGATGTATCTGTGACAGGGTATGCTGTCTTCCGTCTTGTGAACCTGTCCACCGCGGTGAGAATATGCGTAGATGAGTTTGATGGTGGCAGGGAACCAACTATGTCTAAATAAAAATGCTGTAAGCGTTTATCAGGTAGTGGAAATTTCCCAATAGGACTGACTTTGTGTCTTTTTACCTTGCTGCGTTGGCACCGTATGTAGCTTCTTGTCGATCGCTTTATATCCAAGTTAATTTTGGGTCAGACGAAACGTTCCGTAATGAGTTTTGTGGTGGCTGGAATTCTCGGATGTGAAAGTTCGTGCAACTGTCGGAATACCTGTCTTCGACAAGCTTTTGGTATAAAAGAGAGGTTATTGCTAGTTAAAATATCGCAAACGATAGATGAACCTGACAAAGGAATGAGTACAGGCTCGAGAATCAAGTTAGACTTTTCTTTGCAGGTTTTTAGATCAGTATCGTCTACTTTTAATTTCGCTATAGTTTCGAGACTAATGTCATGTTTTTGTACCAGCATGTTAATGTACTTTCTTGATAATGCGTCTGTAACAATCTTGGAATGTCCTTTGACAAACTGCATATCTGTAGTGAATTGTGAGATGTAATCCAGTTGTCTTGCTTCGCGTGGTGAATGTCGATCATAAGACGTGTCAAGCGAATAGCATAAAGGTTTGTGGTCGGTCATTATAGTGAACCCGCGTCCTTGTAATAGAACGTTGAAGTGTTTTACTTCTAAATAAATAGCTAGTAGTTCCCATCTGGAAGTACTATAACGTTCTGTGCAGGTGACAGTCGTTTGGAGAAAAATTATACGGGTGTAATAATGTCGTTGACTCGTTGTTGCAGTACTGCCCCTACAGCTTTCTGAGATGCATCAGTGCAGAGAATAAGATGAGTCATGAGGTCAGTGTTTAAGTGTTGTAACATGGAAGCGTTGGTTATCATAGATTTTACTTTCTCAAAAGCCGTTTTAGCATCAGGAGGTAACTTGAAAAGGTCGTTCTTTTTTTCGCCTCGTTTCTTTTTTATCTAGCTTTGGTAAATTTGTTAAGGGTTGTAATGTATCTGCGCAATCGAGTAGGAAACGTCGATCAAAATTGCACATTCCAAGGAATCGACGTAATGATTTTACTCAATTTGGCTCAGGGCAGTTGGTGACAGCTCCTACTTTTTCCTGTAGTGGTTTAATTCCTTGTGAGTCTATGTAATGTCCTAGAAACTCCAAAGCTGGGACGCCGCATATGCACTTAGAAGGGTTAATGACGACGACATGCTTTTTGCAACGGTCAAAGAGAATCTCTAAATATTGTACGTGCTCTTCTATGGGTGGGCTAGCGATTAAAACGTCATCAATATCGGTGGATACGGAATCTAAACCCCTTGTGACCTTGTTCATCAATCGTTGTAATGTCTGAGCAGGGTTTTTTTAGTTCGAAAGGCATTCTTAATTAGTATTAAAAATTGGAACAGACTCACCGGGTTCTTGAAATCGTATTTGATCAATATGTTGGTTATGTTAACCTTTTAGTGACTCATATGTATCTTCTTTTGTAGTGGCTCGGTATGTGACTTTAGATAGATTGCTTGCTGATTGTTATCGAAACATACATGCCACCAATTCGCGTATATAGTCATCGACTTACCTCGCGTTTATGAATAACGAGATCAAATGGATGAAATAAGAAAATAAATTTCGACTATGTATTTTTTATACAACCATTAATCTAAGCGGAAAATTATGGAAACGCAGAGAAGGAAGCAAACGAAAATGAAGTGACACGTAGTGTAGGAAGTCATCTCCATTTAATCAAGCGTTTATCGATATGCAACCTTCAAAAGCTTCAGAATTCGAATGTATATCCAATTTTTCAATCACAGGCTCCATCAAGATATCAATATGATAATTAAAAGTATTCAAATTCTTGAAATATTGCAATTCACAGCATGTAGAACCACGTGAGGGCAAATGAACATATTGTATATGAAATTCATAATCAGCGAGGAATGAAATGCAAAGGAATCATTAGTTCGTACAAATACCACAGAAAGTGAAATATCATAATGCATACAAATATACCTCTGGCTTAAATATTTGTATTTTCTATGACAAACATTTTTTAAATTCTAATTGAAACACTTAAATTCAACAAATTTAAAGGAATGCATTTTGTTAGAATCTTTATTTTTTCGTATGCCTATTGCGATTTGAAATGATGATTCATGTTATTAAGTTTCTGAATTTAAATTTAGGGTTTTTTAGGGAAACGTATCGTTTTGATTTTACATCTTAGCTTTTTGTGTTCTAGAGTAGACTAAAATCAAACTTATTTTAACTGCAATTTAGCGTGTCTCCATATCAAGAAGACAGGTTAAGAACAAAGTTCTGGAATCCCTTTGGGGGTTTCTGGTGACGAAACATGCATAATACTTCACTGTTCATACTAAGAAAGATATACATTCCAAGATACAAACTGTCATACTGTATATGACAATTATTTGGTATTTTCTTACTTTTAATATTCAATTTTAGTATTATGATAAGCTGATAATCATTTTCAAAAGTATTAAACAAATATTTTATAATTCTACAATATTTGGTGTAAGTTTTTACAACCATGTTTTGAAATTAATTTTCGTCACAACATGAAAATACATAAAAGAAATGCTTAGAAACTGTAGGCAAAAAAGTTCCATTTTGTTCAGATTCTTCACGTTCACAGTAGATTCCCCAGTACAAGTGTCACTTTTTTAGTCTTGTAGCCGGTGTCTTATGGTCACGTATTCTAATTTTGTCGTTTCCTAAATTTGATGAAATTCCGAACAAAAGTAACATTTTTCAATACAATACGTAAATATTATATGACAGTTATGCCTCAAATATACTGTTAAAACACTAGTGTTTAACTTCACTTTATTTTATTAAAACAGTCCAGGATATATGTGTCATTGTATTCAGATTTAAGTGTATTCGTAGAATACTTCACAATAAACTGTGGAAAACGTTTTTTTGTTATACGCTTGGACCCAAATTTACATGAGCGGCTAATAGCCTAGTCTTTCAAATTAAAACGTTTTCTATGATTTTTATGAATAAATTATACAGTTATTCCTGTCTACTTTTAATTTCAGTGACACAAGAACCTTGAATGATAGTGAAAAATGTTCGCCAATTTTTTCCGCATTTACACTTTCTGAAACAAAGTTCTCATTAACATGGGATAGCAAGAGTTTGATAATTCAGCTTTTGGAAAATAATCCTGTGACACCAAAAGAAAAACTCGAACTTTATCCTCCAGTTGATGGAATTTCACGGGTTGATATAGGTAGGTAAGTGTTAGGCTTCTGCTTTCTTTAGTGAAAATCCTCCTTGGGATACTTCAGACAGTTTATTTTTCTGGGCTATCAAAGGTTCAAAGGCAACGGTTTATGATATATTTCATTATAGATTAAAAATAACTTAAAGTAATAAAAGGGCCCCCAAGCTGCCGATTTTGGGGAAAATTCGGCTCATTTTGGGGAAATGAGACCTAAACTCCAAAATTTCCCCAAACATTGGAGAAGTTTCCCCAAAATTCCTCAAAATTTCCCCAAAGTTGGCAGCTTGAGGTTGAATTTACTATGTTTATACCTACGGCGAATTAGCCTAGTTTATATTGAGAACGCCGAGGTGTTTATAAAAATGGTTAAAGATATATACTTCTGTAAAAAAACGAATCCAGATCAATTTCGAATTCGCTACTGTTTAGCATTTAGGGCGAGACTAATTTATGGACGGGTCAATCAGAGGCGTTTTAGAGATTTCAAGGTTACGGCGCCAACTTCAGTGCTTAATGCTAACGTACGATCGGTTCACATGGAATTTTGTACAAAACGTGATAATTGAGCGGCTATAACAAATAAAACGGCGAGAATATAATTTGTGGACGAATCAATCAGGTATAAGATAATAGATCTCGGATTTTAACACGAAAGCCTTTCGTCCATTTGGCTAAATAAATTTCTGGCATTATAGCTGATGTCAGTTTGTGATGAAAACCCCATATATAATTCCTAACCAAGGCGAATTACGACAATTATTGCGAACTGGGTAATAAAAACACCAGTAACACTGGCTACAGCCAGGTACTACAATATATACGGGTGTTTGGAGAGCGTATAGACTCCTACATAGGCTTGGTTATGTGCATCGTGTCGTTATCCACAAGTAGCATTTTGTGCACTGAACAACCGGAGTGCACATAAACAATATTGGAGCTATGTGGTCGAGGCTGAAAGAGTTTTTGAGACTTTATCATAGCTCCAGAGGCCGACTATTCTGTAGTCGTATGGATGATTTCCTCTACCGTATGCGTTACGATTTTAGAACCTCTGAACCTCTTTCTAACCTTGAAAAGTTTTTGAACCATATATAAGAAGCGTATCCACTTTATTTCCTTGTTTTTGTATAACATATTTTTACTCTATACTGACTGTTTGCTGATTGGCTAATGTTTCTCAAGGTCGCTAAAGATTCGTTCAAAGGTCGTCTATAAATTAGAGTCTCGCCGCATTTAGTTGTTCAATTCTTAAGATTCTTCAGGAGCAATGTACACTAATTAGTTCAATATCTCTTCGATAATAATGTTTCAGAAATCAGAAAAGAACGATATAGGGGTACCACGGGACGACTTATGGGGACAGTGCCTCAGATTCCGCCACCATCGTCTATACAGAAGAATTTACACTGGACTAAAGAAAAATATACTTCAGAAGAAAACGTAATTGAGGATTGCCGTGAACAAATTATCAATTGCATAAACTCTAATCCAATAACAATAATCTCAGGACCTCCTGGAATTGGAAAAACTACTTATTTGCCTCAGGTATTTTATAATTTTCTTTCGAGCAGATATTTAAAAGTCTTAGTGAAACGATTCCAAATATAGTTGTTAGCTGAGTTTATTTGCTTAATATAGTAATTGCGTTTAATTAATTGACAAAATGTACTATTCCAGATTAATGGAGATAATTTGTCTCTACATTTTTTAAACTGATACAAAATAATACATCGAAATGTTATTAGTAAATGTCATAGAATGTCGTCCTTTGTCTCCAATGAATATTGTTGGCTGGCTGATAATGGGCCGTAGATTAGAACGAATAATCATTGAATTGAATTTTATTGTGCTGCAACTAATCACAGCGATTAGGCTTCCTTGTTTCTTATACGTATAAATAAAATATATCGAAAGTTTTCTGGAAACTCATGCTTTTTTCGAGAATACGTCCTATTTTGTGTGGCATATCCTGTGAAATTTTGTTATCAGTTCACTTAGGTTTAACAATCTGGGTCTCGGCAGTTTTTCGTCTAACAGAGTGAGAAAGTGTATATTATTCCGAAAAAATGATGAGTTGTCATATCACAATGTATGCAACTATATCGTCAACTGATGGGCAAACGTTTGTGTGCAGATATCACTGGAGGATTTATTTGACTAAAAATGACTGGTCGGTTTTATTTTGTGCCATCTATCATCGACTAAAATATTTGATAAGATGGTGACAAAATCTTCTGGGAATAAATCTTTAGCAATGTCTTGATAACTTTATTTTTTAGATTTTAGTAGATGAGTGCTACATGCAAAGTCATCGTTGTCGTATAATATGCTCCCAACCATATCGTCTGTATGCCCATATTAATGCTGATCGTTTAGCACAAATACGAGGGGAAACAACTGGTCAAACAGTCGGGTATCAAATTCGACTGGAATCTAAGTAGGTGTATTAAGTATTACATCATTTTACTTTTTATTAAAAGTAATAATTATTTCACCATTGTTCAAAACTGCTGAAAAACAGTCAACTAACTTTGTTCATCATAAGGAATGATTAACGAATTTAGTAAACAATGGTTTTACTATACAAGCCAATAATATTTACCAATGATCTAGGACTTGTTCCGTTTATTTTCATAATAACACAGATTTGAATATCCACATATATTTAAATTTAATTACTGACGAGATAGATCATTTACGTTTCAAACAACCCAGGAATTTTTTTTACATGGTACAACAAACTTTATTTTTGGAAAGATGAATGTATTTAAAAAAATAACTATACCAAATGACTGATTAAAAGATTGTTTAACAGCAAACAAATACCAAGATTTTAATTGCTGAAAAATTCCCATTATATTAAAATACAATTATATGAACGAAGAATATTCTTTTCAATGAATTTCTCATCAGGTTCTACATTTATCTCATATCTAAATCAATAATCCATAAAATTGGTCAGATATAAGGCAGAGTATATCATCCAAGAATTGTTGTTTGTTATGTAAAAACCAAATCAAATCGTTAATGTTGGGGCTGGCTAATATGATGTGTAACTTGAATCAGTTTATAAGCTCACTGAAATTGTGAAATTAATGATCAAAATAAATATGGTCAACATGGGGTGAGAGAGAGAATAATGGAATTCAAATTAGAAATTACTCAATATGTAGTATCATATGAATTAGGTCAGATATAGTAGATAGGGGTGGATGCTGAATATTATCATTTATTATTATTTATCAGTAAATACAGGTTTACAGTATTTTAAAGTTAAATGCTAAAATAAATTTCCACTTTGATACAAAATTCACTAACAACCTTCAAATTAAATTCATTTTAAAAATCCGTTAGTCTTTCGGTGAAAAATAAACTTAATCATTAGGCATCGGCTACAACTCAATGGTTGTTAAGTTGCTGAATGTGACTTTGTTTACCCAATTTTCAGAGTTTCCTCGTTACAATCGCACAGTCAATGGTAGCAATGAAAAATAATTACACAACTAATCACGATAGGTAGAAAGTGTAAATTGATGATAAGGCGACAGGTGTAGCAGGGAATATTATCATGATATCATGCTTAACACTTTCAGTGAACATGAAATTGATTAATGTGGGATGCACGACGTCATCGTTTTATAATAATTCGGACCTGATTAAACTTTGAAGTGGGAACCCATATAAAAATCATATGATTGTAATCTCTATTTTTATTAACGATGTTTTGATATAGGGTTTCTCCTAAAACTTTGTTGACGTTTTGTACACATGGAGTGCTACTGAGGACAATATGTGCAGATTCAAGAATTATGGCTGGTATCACACATATCATAGTAGATGAAATAGAAGATAACGAAATACCGGAAAACTTACATTTAACAAAACTGCAAAACACTGACGCTAAACTAATGATGTCTACAGACAGTAATGGTGAAACAGATAAATCATGGCGTGCTGATAATCCAGAAGTAGGCTATGGGATTTTGTTGGCAATTATACCTTCTCTTTTGACTCAGTACCAGCATTTAAAAGTGATTCTTGTTGTTAATTCTCGCATGTATACGCACGATTTTTGTCACAAAAACATACTTAGTGAGATTAGAAATCCAATGAATTTGATAAACGCTCCAAACTCTGTTCCGATAACCTACTGTGAAGTAAGTGTAAACTTTGCTTCTTTTCTACTTTTATGAGGTACTTTTATTATTCTGCGGTTAAATGAGCATCTAAAATACTAAAATACGTCCAGTTAGATTTTTGTTACATTGAACACTTTTGTTTTTATACATTAAAGTTCTTATTTGTTAACTGACTACCAGGTTACGACATCACGATAAGATAGACTTTTCTGACTAATAAATCGTAAATGACGAATTCATTGAGAAACGATAGTGATTTTAAGACAGCTCAAAATATCTTAGCCATGTTGTTAGGATGGATCTAATATTGAAAGCAGTTTATTCTTTTGATGCTGTGAATTTTATACATTAATAAAGCTATTGATTGTTTACTGTCAGTGGCCAGTGACCATATAAGCAAATGATATGTAGTTCAGTGTAATTTAGTTATAGTTCCTGACTCCTGTTTTTGTTGAGATATAATAAGATAGTCATCTTCCGTACATCCAGTTGTTTCAGTCTCATACATTTATGCCAAGTAACAAGTCTCAGTCATAACAAATGGCTACAAATGTTTTGTCGTTATAATACCTTACCGCTGAAATTTCCTCTAACCCATCACCAATCTACTATTTATAATAACAACCTACGTTGTTTCTGAAACCATACTTTGACCATATTTTTATTTTATGTTTACCTCCTCATATTACCGACTGAAGGCACTGTATCTTATATGCCAATTGGATTTTACACCATTTGTTTAGATAATATTCAAAAACACATTTCACACTCAAAAATTTTACCAACCTCCTTTTCTAATGGATTTTTTTGGACGTTCTTGTGAGTTATACTGTTGTCTAATAGTTAGACCTTAAGGACCGAATGAGGTAGTGAGTTTACACAGCTGGGTTTAGAAATAAGATAAGACAGTTGTCACTCCCTAGATGGTTGAAATGAAAATTACCTTGAATATAAACATAATCTCCATACAAACATACTTTAATAAGTATACTGATATATAAGTATAGTAACAAAACCTGAAAAGGTGTTGGCTTGTTAAGTACACAAGTCTGTCCAAATCATCACAGATTTTTATCAGTCGCGAAAATAGGTTTATAATCGAAAATAAAATGAACAGATTGTGTCAAAAAGGTTATTAATTTCAAATCCGTTTACTAATAATAAATATCGCCTTTATCACTCTGCTGATTCCACCAATTTAGCTTTTTTCAAAACTTTTCTATATTCGTAATTATTTATAAATCGAGATATTTCGTTACCAAAACAATGTGGTATTTAGATGTAACTATGGAATTTAAGCCATACAAAGGAAAGAAGTACCCTTTAGTTGGATTTTATTTCATTCTAATAGAACAGCTAAAACATGACAGAAGAATAAAAGATGTTTGTAGATGAGGTTGGACTGCAAAGTACCTCGATGAGATTAATAACAGATTAGTACTAGTTTACAAAAACAAGAACCTTTTATTCTGGCATGCTGAATTGGTTAGTCTCCTTTATAATATTAATTCCATGTATATCTAATTCACAAGATCAATACTCTGTGCTGAGAATTCTATATTGTACCAAAATATAATATTGAATAAAGCCATTAATAATAATGATAATAATAATAAACACATGCTCATTTTCATGATTAGTTACCATTTAAAATTCCTGAAGTATCATATATATCACAGTATACACTTTTTAAGACGTTTAAATAAATTTATTCGGTGTCGGTATGTTAAGTTTGTCATGATAGATATTAGATCTCCACATTAACTGGTTGTTAATTTATTTTGGATGTGGAAATATTTTCTATGAAATAATAACCCATCGACATCTATTCAATTAGAATAGAACAACGTGTTATAACTAAAGAAAATAAGGTTTGGAATGATGAACGAATATTCATCTACTGCCAATGAATTTGTTTTATTTAACATGTAGATTCAGAATACTACTGCACAACACAAATATGAGATTTCATCTATAAATTTTAAAGGTCAAGCACGACAGAAGTTCAATTTAATTGATAATGGCTTCGACAAACTCACTTCAGTTTCATCACATTCAATAGATAATAACCCTTCTCCTGATTTTACGGCAAAGGATAGACCACCGATCGCAAAAATACAGAATAATATATCATCTGAAAATGTAGTCTATAAACAATTACAGGGTTTTAGTAAGTACTATAATGGAGCTCCAATAATTAGTAGTAAGTTTTTTTGAATGGATCTTATTTCTACATAATATTATGACATTTGAGTAGTTGATATTTAATAACAATTTTCGAATGAATATCGGTACAAAGACATATTATACTTAAGACTGTCACCAATATTATCGTCTATAAATCAAACAACTTCCGAGACAGAACTTAGATCCGGTGAACTTATTATGCTGTGATTCTGGTGTCTAGTGAACATAATACGTAATTCATAACTGTATGTAAAGCTGTCAAGTACATACAGAAGACAGTCAAATACTCTTTGAACTCTTATAAAACCAATGCATGGACCTAGGAATAACAAAAAAGTTTGTGTTTAAACGTTTCGTAGTGCGGATGTGTTTTATAATGTGTTAATAGTTATGGTATATTCTATGAACCAATATGAGTAACAAAACAGGACTTCTTATTTGCAAGATCTAATAGCAATTCTTAACCTGTGATAGCTTCATAAAATAGGGGTCAAGTTCTAGAAATTATTCGACTCAATATTCTCTCCAACAGATTTATGCTTTCCATAGTCATCAGTAAGAGACTGACGTTACCGGTAAAATAAGGATAATTTATTTGAAGGTGTAATTTTAAATGTTCCCGTTACTATCTAAGAAATCACAGAAGTGCCTGACTTTCAAAAATTAAAAATTAATAAGAGAAAAGTTAGATATTCGAACGCATCCACTTGTCAATTTCTAAAATTTCGTAATTAACATTAGCTTTAAAAGAAATGAGCTATTGGAAATTCTTTATAAGCAGTTTATCATGATCACCTTCCCTGTGATTAGAGGATACAGTTAGCTGAGTTACTATTTACATGAAATGTATTTTACTCCGTCTAACTGTTGTCACTTTTTTGGTCCACTGGTAGTACATCAGATCCATGATACTGTTGATGTCAGTGAGAGATTCCTCTATATCAAGTTTCCAGATTTTATCTGAAACCCTTTGTTTTGATTGTGTTAGGTGTCATTAGACCCTGGTTATAGCAATGTCAATAATTGTCAGCTTGTCATACTTTAAGCGGAGTAACAGTAGTTCTTCAGTCTAACTTAGAAGTCTAGGAAACATAAATGCATATCTCAGCTTCTTTTACATAAGTTCGGGTCCAGCAACGTTAGGTTTTAGATTCCTCTCAAATCGCTAAATAATTCGGACTGTAATCCTTCTTTTTTAATTTTCATTCTAAATAATTTAAAGTACCGTACCGTGCAAAACAAGTAAGAGTTTATCATCTAGAAGATATTTTAGAATGGACTGATTATTCAACGTCACGAATGAATGAAGCATTAGCGTGTATGGACCAAGGTAATTCTGAAAAGAAAGCATGTTTCAAATGAGTGTAACTTTTGTATTTTTGTTAACGATTTGGTAGAAATGCTTCAGAGTGCACTTTTAAAAATAATCTACTGCATCTCATGTCTTAATACGTCACAGTAAGTAGTATTAAATGGCCATTAAATTTTTACAACTATTTCCAACTCATAATTTATCATCAGTTATCTGATTAGTCATGCGGTATTGGTTGAATATATTGTACGCAAAAGACTATCTAAATTGTTTAGTACATGTAGTTAGTTGAATGGTGATTCGGTCTTTTAAGTTCTGTCTGGATAGGATGTGAACATTGATTTCTTTAGGGAGTTATATGTCTTTATAAATCACCAGCACAATGGCGCTGCACATGGGACAGTGGAATCTATGGAATAAGCACTAAACAAATGAAACATTGCATTGTCGCTGTCTCGGTCATTGAATTCTTCTGAGTTTATGGAAAAAATTCCATATCCGTAAACCACTTGATGCGCGGAGTTATAGAAAACACTACATTGATCTTCAGATATACGTCTTACTAATGAATATAATGCTTTTTTATGATTAGTTAGCATACTTGGACATGGAAGTAATTGTCAATCGCAATGCTGGTGAGATAGCTTTGGTGTATGTACAGTAGGCGAAAACGTGACGACAAGACAATCCGTTTAAATAGAAAAATTTGTCTTGCTTTGTTCAAAAAGATTCGCAGAGGGTCTAAAAGCATTTTACTACTTTTGCTTCTTAAATAACAAATGATCTCACACCTATCGGTAGAAAGTCCCGTTCAATGCTTCAATAAATGAAAGATAACTTTGGAAACTACAAAAGACTGTCATGCATAAAGAATTTTATTTACCTTTCCACATTTCGAGTGAACATCAGGCGGGAGAATAGTTGCATAATTTCAGATCACAGCCAGATATAATGTATTCAAGAATATGATGCTCAGTCGACAAACACCTACATTTTATATCAATTTTAAGAAACAACCGATTATAACAAATTTAGAACTAGCCATTTAATTGGACGAAACGAAATTTAAAAAATTGAAAAATGAGATGAAAATGTTTTTTTAAATGGGGTGAAAAGATTGAATAAAAAAATACAAAAACTGCCGTGAGCTTAATGATATTCTTAAAAGACAGTGTAATGCAACATGATCAAGACTTTTGAATTTTAATAAACAAAATTATCAAGGTTTATTGCTTAGGTTGTCTGTATAAAGGATTATAAGATGAATAAAAAATTTGAGATGCAAGGTATTTGTGGTTTAAGACACTGACATCTTTACTTAAATATCCATAATAAAATGATTAAATTATATATACTAACTCGGAAGAATGGATGGACAGAAATTCCCAATTATTCATAAGTAGTCCAGTTTACATATCCTCGAGTAAGATAGGTACATTCTTATAAAAAAAATGTTACAAAGTTCAATAAGATAAAAGTTAAGGTGCAACTAGTTGTGTAATAAGATTTCAACCAGATCTCGTCTCGTCACAATTGATAATCAGTGTCATAAATAATCAACCGTAGTTGCCATAAAACAAACTGACTTAATCTAAACCAAATATTTATTTTTTAAAATGATCATACTAATGAAACGAATTCCTATGTTTAATTGAATTTTTATCATCTACTTGTTAATGGTGAATATTCTATTTGTAATCAGGCAGATCTAGAAATAAATATTGTTTGATTAGTAACTATGTAATTAAAAAGATTCAAATGAAGAAATCTATATGGTATCTGTCAGTGATAATTCAAGAATGAAATGATGCTTGTATATGTACATTTTATCTAGGATTCTGTAATTCGGATCTTTATTTTTAATGTTTTCTTTTTGGAAAATAGTGTATGCTGCATTTATGTTGGTTATATCTGTTTAGGTTAGAATTAATAAATGAAATGTGATATGATGTTTTATTTAAAATTAATAATTACTACTATTCAAAAGTATCGTAAACATGATGGAGTGAGTTATCTAAGAATGTTTTGTGATTATAATTCTGAAATAGATTTTTCATTCGAAACATAACACAATGATGTCATATTATGCACTGATATGATTCGCACGCAGTTTATTGTTTAGAGAAATCTTCAGCTCATCTGATACCCATTCGCGTAATATTCTATGGAAAAGGTGTAATTATAATTTAAGTAGTCTGTTCTCATCAATCATTAAAATACTAATGTCTAGGAGTGGTTTAACGTGAATATAGTAGCTCAGTGATATATTAGAAACAGGAAATTAGCTAAAGTTATATAAAATAGTCAGACGCCTTTTTAATATGCATAGTTTGTATTGTGATATATAAAATAAGCTTTTCCTTGACGTTTATTGCTCTGTTTATTTATTCTTCTTTTCGAAAAATAAATTTTCCATTTAGATGTTGTACGCTGTCGTAATATGTATTTTTGGCTTACAACTAAGGAATTTGATAAATATATTCCATGTGCGTATCACATTATTACAACTGACGATGCAAATACAGTCAGTATGGTTGAAGACAAAACATTCAATACATCCGTGTCTAATGCCGTACCAAAGGTATTATGTTTATCACAAATTTATTGTGGTTTTATAGTAGGAGTGACAACTTGAAGTCAAGCGTAATTTTCTTTTGACTATACATCCTCTAGACTCAAAGGTCAAATTACTAATATCGCCGAATATTCACTTATATTACGTAGATTTTGACCTCGTGACTACATAAATAATAAATAATTACTACTTTCTTTGCCGCTTTTATAACTCAAATCTACTTTCATCCAAAACTAGTTACTAGAACGATTGGTAGTATTCCAATTGTTTCGGTCTGCAAAAGCCAACCATAGACCAATGAGTATTCAGTTCACTACAAGCTGGTTGTGTTATACAAAATATAACAGTTTTTGTTTTGTTCGTAAAATCTCAAACGAAAGTCATTATTAGACGTTTACCAGCCAAAATATGAACCAATTTTTGTATGTACCATAAAATATGATATAATAATAATTGTTCAGCGGATTTTAATCGGCCTCATTTTTTAAAAATAGTACATTATGAAAGAATAGTCAAAAGATACTAGAAAAGTTTGGGATATTTGCTAGCTCTCTTATAAGCGAAAATAAAAGAAATTATGAATCTCGAGATAGATAGGTCTACAATTGTGTATTTTGGTTTCATATCCCAATTTAAAAAGTATTATATTTATGGTTTTTAGAGGTTAGGATTAATGAATTTATTGAGAAAGTGTCAGTTTTTATGAAATTTATTCGCTCTAGTATTTTCATGACTTTTTGGATCTTTAATGTCGCTCAAGGCTTTAATTATTAAGATGAACAGGTTGCTTATATTTGCTATTTACGAGTTAGGTTCCCATCCATTGTTGGATAACAGTTTGTTATTATCAGTATAGGGTCGTAGAGATTGTTGAGTTTCATTAAAATCATGAAAGGTCAATGCTTGTCATTAGTTATAAACTTATTAATGAAGAGATTAGATATCGTTTTAGAGTTATTTGTAACTGACTTATTGCTTGATACAAAGATCTTGATTTTGCGAAAATCCCATACGTTTATTGAACAGAATTTGAACTTTGAAGCTGCTATTTGTTTATGGCAGCCCTAGTCCAGGGTATTCGAGTAATAAGATTCTACATTTTGATTAGAAATTTTACTTAATAGTATACCTGTGGAGAGATTATTCGAAATAAATTAAGGTCTATGAATGTTACTGATATGTGGGCGAGAATGATAATGATTGGTTGTCCGCTTAGTCGGACATGTAGATAGTCTGACAGGTGTCAGATGAGTTTATATTCCCCTATCCTTATAGTAATTATTATTGATTGTTCATTGTTGTTGGATTGTGTCGGGTATTTGGTGTGGGAATATATTTATGTTCTAGTCAGATTAATCAAGTGTTCTTGATCTGAGTTGTGTTGAAGTACTGTAGAATAGACACTAGGAGGGAATCTAGTGTAGATATTCGTCTAAGGTAAATTAACTTTCCATATGTGTGAACGTGGAAAAACAACCGTTATAACAGCTACTTAGTTCGTAACGATATTCAGTTGCTATGTGAATAGACCGTTAAGTTTTATTTTCTTGTATATTTTAGTAGATGCAGCGGAATCTGACGACGAATGACTGACTTGATAAAACATGTCTGAGGAATTTATGAGACTAATGCGTGAAAGAAATTCTCATTTTAATCTCCTTAAAAAAGCAGAATTAATCAAGAATCTTTTGAGCTAAAAATGTTTAGCAGTCAATCATTCTCTTTAATGAAGAATGAAAGTAACTTGTGGAAACATTTCATTCTGAAAATGCTCTAATGCCCTAAATATATGGTACTGAATAAAAAAATTGTTAGTAGTAAAAAAGGAATATCAAGGACTGATATATTATAATACTGTGTTATTAACGTCACGCATAATACAAACGTAAGTCATGCAACATATTTATCCCACGACAAAATTAAGATGATGATAATGAAGATGGGTAGTACTTATTGTGAACTCAAGTAATAATAAATTGATTGAGATTATGGATAGCGTTGAGTTTTGTCAAATGCATTTTTGTTCATATATATTCCAGAAACCTCGAGTACTTCCTGAAGTTCATGCTGTATCATATTTGAAATATGATCAAATATTGAATCAAACAGACGACTGTGCAGAGGTTTATTCAACAGATTTTGCAAACAAACACGCAAATAACTTACTATGGAGTATTTGGCTTCATACAGTTCTTGACCTCAATAGAAACGAATTAAATAAACAACATATGAAGGTTAGACGAGTTACTTGTTTCGGGTTAATTTCCTAAAGTGACAAATTTTCAATATTTTGCATGCACGTGGCCATGTGAGAGTGTTTCAAGAGGGAGAGCTGTTTCTCCCCACCTTCGACCGTACCAGGGCATTTGGAAGTGATCACTACACCCCTGAAAATAAAATCATCGATAACAGATCATTGGAACGAAATAAACTATTTCCATGTTTCAGCGAATGGTTTTTGTTTACTTAAGAATGCAAGGACATTTTTAGACTGGCTGAAAGTAGTGTCTAAAGTGCTATGCTGAATAATCGGAATTCTTAAACATTATTGTAACTAATGATAAAATGATCTATCATCATTTTCATATGTGAGTGATAAATAATTTAAATGATATCTGATACTGATGACAAATGTTTCAAGTCAACAAATAATATTAGGATATGACGTATCTTAATGATTTATCCAAGGTTTCTTCATAGTGTTTCAGACTTCTCAACCTCTAACTGTCCTTATACTAGGATGTATTAGTTTGATAAAGCATAAATTTCCCCTATGAAATAGCGTAAGGTGATAAAAACAGTAGAAAATATAGAATCATAAAAGTCTATTGTCATTTGATATTTTATGTTTCCATTGTAAAATAACCTCTGCACGCCTTATCATAACTACATCTTACGTTTGACATTACTATTTACTTTACACTTTGTAAACTTTAGTTTTGTTGCCTTTTGCATGAACATTTGAATTTGTAGAAAATAAATGAAATGGAATTCACTGAGGTGAAAAATTCATGTCTGACAAATTTACTTCAGTGTATTCTAGCTGGCTGGATTTCTGTTGATTACGAACACTCGAATTCTGGTATGTATTTTTTCATCCTATATTTACATGAAAGCTTATTTTTATTTCTAATTTTCTATTACTTTTTATACTTTCTAATTTGTATCAACATTCAATCATTTTTGGAACCTGTTGACATAATGGAGCTTATTTAAAATATTTGTTTTAAAATTTAGGAAGAATCAAATTAATGTTTTCATTTAGGGTGGTTGTTCCACATTGTGTTATTACTTAACAGTCATTTGTACTCAACAGATCATTCTTCAGACAGTTCACGTTGAGTGCGGTGCAGTCATGTATTGATTTAAACAAGATTTTAAAGCATTTCTGTAATGGGGAATTTCAACTGGCTGTGTCCAAAAAACTGTAGGTTATAAAAGTTCTAAAATCTTAGAGTTCTCAGTATATATTTGTGAAGATTGTTGAGTTTAGATTGACATCATGAATGAATCAATGTTAGACCACCATTGGAAACATGAAAGCATTGGATGGTCTTTACGTCTCAATATGAGACTCCTCAACAGCACGCATCCAAGATCCCGCAAGCACGACTCGAACCCAGGACCGTTGGTCTCGCGTACGAACGCTTAACTTCAAGACTACTGACTCGGCATCCAACGGTGTTGATTTCTAACTTCAACCAATCCATGATATCTCGTGGCCGTTCACAATTGTTTTCAGTCAGTAACTGCTTCACAACAGACACGGTTGAACTCCACTGGTTACGGCTCCTCACTAAAACTCCAGGAAATACCTCTTGAAGCCAGTCACTAGTGAGCACATAATAATTATCAAAGAGGTTATGAGTAAGCTTGACTTTTATTGTTGTTACTTTGGTGATACTTTCATCGTCATCAATCAGGACATTGGAAAAGAGGAACCATTGAAACTATCTGACAATAAACATTCAGCACTCAAATTTACGTGTGAAGAGGAACTTGATAATAGAGTACATTTCCTTTACGTTTTGTTAAATAGATATGAAAATAGTTCTGTCAGTAGAAGTGAGTATATGGAAGGTTCTTCAGCAAGCCAGTACACACATTTATTGAGCCTTATACTCATTCGTTATAAAAGAAATCTTGTTAAATGTATTGCAAATAGAGCTAGGAAGATATGTGATTGGCGCCACGATGGATTTCCTGGAGTTTTAGTGAGGAGCCGTAACCAGTGGAGTTCAACCGTGTCTGTTGTGAAGCAGTTACTGACTGAAAACAATTGTAAACGGCCACAAAATATCATGGATTGGTTGAAGTTAGAAATCAACACCGTTGGAAGCCGAGTTAGTAGTCTTGAAGTTAAGCGTTCGTACGCGAGACCAACGGTCCTGGGTTCGAGTCGTGCTTGCGGGATCTTGGATGCGTGCTGTTGAGGATTCTCATATTGAGACGTAAAGACCATCCAATGCTTTCAGGTTTCCAATGGTGGCCTAACACTGTTCCTTTCATGATACCAATCTTATAAGATTGTTTCAAATAATGCTTCTTTTCAAAATATGATTTAAATCATCCAGATGTAAAGATACCGTTTTCATTTCATTTTTATTTTAATATTTCTACTACGATAATGAAAGTCCGTTAAAATATACTCATGACAGCAAGTGAATGGATGAACAAACTTTCTTTTTCTATTTTTCAAAAGGATTGACTCCAATGATGGTGTGTTCTGCTGGTGGTCTCCTAGAGGCTGTTAAATGTCTATTGAATCATGGAGCTGATCCATTTCTGCGTGTGGCTATGCCTTACGAACCTTTAATTGGACTAGCTCGTAAGCAATGTGAAGATTTCAAACTTTTTGGTCCAAAGAATCGAAAAATCTCAATCAAAGATGAAAATTACACTACCGTAGGAGTTACAGCTTATGATTTAGCTTGTATATTCGATAATAACGAAGTTGCAAACTTATTGAAAACATATATGTAAGATTTGTAATTGTTTTTCTCAATAGGCTGTGATTATTTTTTAAGTGTATCACTAGTTTTGTGCTAAAATAATGATTTTTGAACACTCATAGTGTATGTGAAATAACTACACAAATGGTCGCTTCTATTATTCTTGAGGGTTCATAAACTATAGATTATTACAGAATGTTCATATTTGGGCCTTCCTCCATTATGAAACCTAATAAGATCTAAGCCATTATCCACTCACATTCCATATTTTTTAGGATTAATTCAAGCCTTCGATACGAGCCTGAAAACTGGGAGGCTATACTTCTAAGATTTGGATCTTGGTTTCAAAGTCCGATAGGCAGATCACAATTTGATGATTGTACTTTCAACGATCACCAACCATTCGCAACTGATTTAGATAGTTTTGGAGAAACAAAAGTATTAACGAATTCCCTGAATTTCCGTTACAAATTACTTTCATCCTATCAATCAGCTAGAAACAATATGGAGCCAGAAACGGTAGTGGATTATGATCTTCTAACGGCATTAATTGTGAAAATCGACAGTTCGTTACCAAGAGGTGAGAAGTAGTATTTTTAAATCAGTTAGATTAAACATCTCTAAATTTAAAACTTGTTCTGATAGTCATATTTCAATAGTCACTCTTCTTGGTCATCCACAGTCTGGTTTAGTTCTACACAATAAACATATTATTATTATTTAAAATCATACGAGCGTTAGTTAAATCTCATTTAATTATCCTTAGAACTTTTATGAGCCCTGAATGACTCACATTTGTGCAAGATTAACGCTTTCGTTTATTCATCAGTTTATGAGGATGCTTTAAACCTAGAAATAATGTTGTGTTACTGCCAATCAAGAAATGCTCAAAGAAACTATGTCTCTTAATGCACATATGTTTATCAATATTTGTAATAAAAAACATCTCGTTTAAAGATTTCTATAATAACATTGAGCGCTTATCCTGAGGTACTCGGTAATTTTTCCACAATATTATTTCCAATACTATTTTTCTTCATTATCATTATGAAATAGCGGGAAGCACTTGTAGCTCAAGTAGATCCTTTTAATAGTGTTGCGTTCTTTCAATACTATGGTTTATTTTCACACCTTTCCATGTTGTTTCAAATACATATAACTGAAATCTGTCTTTTCTTTAAAAAGTTTCCTTTACTGTTATTATTGCTAAAGATGATATTTACTCCACTATAACATTTGTCCTAAAATTTATTCAAATAATCATGGTGTTTATAGAAGATTTTCTTACTCACCTAATATTATTTAATAGAAAAGCATTCCATGTACAGCGACCGCCAAAATATATTAGAAAACAAATACACTTTAAAAAATGTGGATAATCATCTTTCTCATATTGTTCGTCTAAATAAGCCTATAATTTTCTTCTTCAGGTGTAATATTAATATTTCTACCATCATATGAAGAGATTATAACACTACGAGGACGATTACTGGATCCTGACACTTCTCCATGGAAATCGTCAGAGTATGTGAAAAATGCGCCTTTTTGTTTTTACGTAAACCCCATCACATGTCATATAGACTGTGTTAGAATAAGTGGCTGATTTCTGGAAATCATAGTATGTACAATTTCAAAAGTTATTTAATGCACGGTTTGATGTCTCTTGTTTTGAACGAAGGGTACATTTAAGCAGATTTACAATGACTTACGTAGTCAACATTGGATAATTTGTATAAGTATTCAGTATCTCTCAATAGATGTTTATTCTTTAAAAATTCTTTTAATGAAGGAAAATCCTTTGGAATATGGGAACTTTCTACCTTTAAATATTGTTTTGTTTATCATTTCTTTATTTACCACATTTATTGAATTTTATTTTCACTTCGTATGTAATGTTAAGTAGTTATTTTTTTGTTTTTTGGACATTGAATTTATTCTGAAAGTAATTCACTGTTTGCTACTTATTTGATTGAATATGATAGTCAGTGAATCAAATATCTAAAGCTATGGCATGTAGTGAAATGTGTCTAAGTTTTGGTAAGGCTCATAACTATGAAAAACTCAACTATTTGTTATTATGTTTACTATACAAATATTAAAATCCTTATCACAACACTGAATATGTAGATTACAACCGAATCGTAACTTAAAAATTATAGTATTCATTATCTTAATAACGTGTGAATAATAATTTGAATCACAAATACAACTAATTTAAAATCTGATATATGTGTGTTTATATTTTCGAGAATATGCTCCTTTTTACGTTCTTTCCAATGCGCACATCCTTCAGTAATTATATTCATTTCCCATTTTTCCAGAAATCCCTTAATATTTATTATTCACCCTCGAATGCTTGTTGCTGATTTGAAAATTATATATGCTCAGTCTTCACGTTCGCACCGTAAATTAGTAAGTCAATTGTATTAAAGTGAAATATATGTAACAGTATTGTCTGTTATGTTTTCACCATTCTTTCAAAAATATCATAAAGATAATTTGCGAAAAGTTGTAAGCTACAAGTTTACCAAAATAGATAAAGTTCTCCATAAAGACCTAAAACTTGTGTTACCAGCATTAAGGTTTCCATCACTTAGATGTATCATTGCATTGATAAAATGGCATTGATTATTACAGCTAGTGGTTTATTTGTCGTCAATCTAAATATCAAGTTTTAAAAAATCTGATATTATGTGTTGTTTTATTCATCAATCAAACTTATATATTCTATAGCATAGTTATTAATCAGTCTTTGAGTAGATAAAAACAAAAGATTAAATTATCGAGTATTTATTGTACTCAAATTTCAAGTAACTGAGTTTTACTTTTCTCCATATGGCTTTTACTAAATTTAATTTGTTATCTAAAATCTACTATCGTACTGAAGCACAGATATATAAATGAAGAATATTCTTTTAATGAATTCTTAATGGTTTCTACTGTTGCACATTTGAATTAATAATTATTCTATGAATGTAAGAATGTAGAACCTGGTAAGAGTTTATTGAGCAGAAAATTATTTGTGCATGCATCTCCGTTTTTATATATTGTCGCTACGACTGTCGACAATTTTAATTTATCAGTGTAAAATCCCTAGGCCATTTTTTATAAGAGTATATTAGCATGGTTCTGATGATAAATCTGATGTTCTGAAAATAGTCTGTAGATAAATAAACATTGTTTGGTGGCGGGTTGACATTACTGTAACTGAAGATTTGATGAACTAATGTTGAATGTTTACATTCGCTGATTATCTAATACTCTTTAGCACTGTTTTTATTAATACATTATCTTACAATTAACGCACCCTAAAGATCAAAGGTTTATGATGCAACATGAAATTCCTAAGTTTGATACTTAGTAATGTCGTGGGTTCACACTATTGAGTAACGCTATACTATCATGATCCATCTGTAAAATATCGTGCAGTTTTAAGTAGTTGTCCAGTTGAAGTCAATTCAGAAGGCACATTATAGACTAATCAGTCTCGACAAACCCCTATACTATCAAGAAAACGTTTTTCCTAATAAAACTTCAGCAAGTAGATTTAAAAAGTATAATTTTATTACTAGATATTTTATGGTAATAATATCTTCCAAACAAACTATATATTTCTTTTCTAGATACTTTCGTCAAGTATCGCAGAGACATCCATGACGTTTGATGATGTCGTTTATATTATTGACTGTGGATTGAACTGTGTGGTATGTTATATGATAATTAATATATTGACATGAAGTTGTTTTGGCTTTATTATATTGTCATAAAGAGGAATTTCACATGATTCTTCTAACAAATAATTTCTGTCAGAGACAAAGAGGAAAAACGAGTTTAAGCACCATAAAGTGATGTTCTTAAGCTTCATAAAAAAACACCGTTTTCTAAGATATCTGCTACAAAAAGTAAATTGTTACATATTGTTACTTGCTAGTTTTATTCTTGTAATCAATTTTACGAAAAATTAAGTATAACATTGATTTAATTTGTTTGTTCTTTTTCCGTAGATAACATTAAAGGCTAGATTTCATAATTCTCTAAAGGTCCATGCGTACCCTGGGCGGATGCCCTCATATTGACTTTAGTTACAAACCTTATATTGTTTTTGGATCTTGGCTAGCAGTGGAATTCAAGATACAAATTTTGTTCTATTCGGGACTCTTGAGCTGGGTGTGTCCACATCCCAGTGTTGATGCTTTAATTTATCTTCTCAACATAGTGACGCGTTATTTACTAAAGTATCGAGTTAAAACAGTAACTAATTTATTCATTGGGCATGATATTTATTATTCGTGGGATTTCGATCTTCGATTAAGCTTGTTTGCTACTTAAAGTTTTTTGAGATTCATGATTAAATTTCAGACCACTGTAGCAAAGATTGAGTTTAAAGTAAAAAGTTCATTTTATAAAATTTTGATAGAACAATGAGAAGACGGAGTTGATCTGAAAAAATGTGATGTGTTTGAACTTACTTTTATTAATTTTCATACAAAATGGCTTGAGAAATGTATGTATAATCAGATTGCTTGAAATGTATGGCGCAAATACATCACATTTTTCAGATCGACTTCGTCTTCTCACTGTTATATCAAAAAGCATAGTTATATCCTTTCATCTAACAGATGTACTCCCTTCCTAATAGATTTTCATTTAGAAAATAGTCTAGGATTTATCACTGATTTTCATCTCTCTTACTTTCAATTTATGTTATTTTATCCTAACATTTTAGCGGCAGTATGAACATTTATATATAAATGAAAGTTGTTGTTCATTTAGCATTTTTATATTTCAGATAAAACTGAAAAATATGCTATTTTTCTTCTCTCCATAATTACTTTTTTAAGTAAGAGTAATCTCTACAATATTCTCTCTTATTTAGTATTTATAAATAAATACGTTTTGGAGTTAAATTTTGAAAAGATAGTTTCTTACTTCTATGAAGTTTGTATTGCGTCTTCCATAAATGAAAACCATTGACCGACGTACTGTCTCTTTAATTAGTTTGATGAGATTGCTAGGTTAGTGACACAGTTTCCATCTTTCTTAGTCAACGAGAATAAATGAAATTTATTATTACTACTGTTTTCAGATTATTATTACGGAAAAACTGACCATACGCTAATAAAACATTTTGATATTTACGTTTCAGTTAACAGTTGCCAGTACTCTACGTATACGTTAAACCCTTTTATCCAAAATATACTTTAAAATATAAACATCATTTTTGTTTTCATTCAAAAGGAGGAGTTCCTTGATTGGACTCAAACCACATCTCTAAGAAACCAATGGATTTTAAAGTCAAACGCAATTCAAAGAACGTCGAGGTACTTTCAACATAAACCTAAACGCTTTATACACAAGTTAATGTCTGTATTATAATTGATAATCCCAGTCAAAAGTGTTAGAAAATGTTTCATTTATGTTTGATACAAAGTATGTGCCACGAATTCGAGGAACACCACAATAAATATATTAACTACCCTTTTCGTTCATAGTAACGCATATGGACGATGATGTATGTAAATTTATTTGAGAGGTGTTGTAGATTCTAAACAAAGAATGTCAGCGAGTTTTAAGGAACCTAACACTCAGTTTAGTCAATAACCAAAGTTTTAGCCGTAAAAATATTTACCGAAGGAAAGCGTTATTGTATTGGGGGCAAAGGGTATCCCCCAAAACTACTTTGATTATATGCTAGGTACATTAAAGTGTTAGACGGAATGGTTCAACAACTTACTTATATACTTCATATTTTAAGCAAAAGTGAAATTCTAAAGTTTTAGTGGGAAACAGTGAAAGATGCTCAAATAATGTATTTCCAACTCATAATATTTGCTAAGTCGAAATACTTAGAAATTTCATCTATTTATACACGTCTTAAAATGCAAAACTGATGCCTTTGTACTATTCAAATCATAAAATGATTGACTGAGTGTATTCAGAGATAACTATACATCTAAATTAAGTACTATTTTCATTTTTGGGTTTGTATCTAAATGAAATTTTCTGGAATATCATGTTGTATGATTAAACTGACACTTATCTCTATTGACTACTTTTATCTTCAGTCACTAGTACTTATATTAGACTTTTATTGAACTTATGTAAAGATATAATCTACTTGAAGTAGTAGTTATATCATTTTAAAACAAGTGGTTAACCATGTATTAGGACGATCAATAAACAATCTTTATAAGCAGATAATAACATAAGCAAACGTAAAGAAATAAAGTAACATGAGTCGCGTTGTGATAGGAACTATCGTTAGGTGAGAAATATTTTGTTCTTTAAACATGCTGTATTTTTATTGTTTATAGATTGACAGTACTGATCACTGAAACCTTTATGAAATTCCTGAAATATAAGCTATTGCACATATTCCGAATTTTCTCAGTATAATAAACTGTGATAAATCAATTGTAATTAAGCCACGATGCACAGACTGTCTTAACTCTTTAATAAATGCCTTTTATCCTACAAACAGAGTTGGAAAAAACATAAACGGAGTGTGTTTTCGTTTGTACAGTAGTTTACGCTACAGTTTTCTTTCTGAACAAAGACATGGAAGTCTAAGTGGACATGTTGTTGAAGTAAGTTAATTTCAAAGTTTAGTCCATTTGAATCTCATAGAATACTCATTGAAAATATTTATTCTTCCGATGGTGGTTCACTTCTACGTCTTAGCTAATCTTATGCATCCTATATCACCATAAAGACATCTGTAAGTCTATTTTCTGAGGCACAGATAGGTAAAGCAGTGTCTAACAGTCGATAAAAAGTTACTGCCAACAAACGATTTAGTTGATCTTCCGTTAAGGCTACTGTAATGCTCATATCAACGGGTCATCGTGTGTTTTGTCATGGTAAATAGATATCAAGATGATTCAATAAAATTTAACTGCAATTTACCCATAATTATCTGAATAATCCCGACAGATATTTTGGTAGCTATTTATCTACGTAATGACAGACAGAATATCATTTAATAATCATTTTAAATTGTACATTCAGCATTTTAGCAAATGTCATTATTTACAACCTACATTTACCACTCAATTCTAAATAAATTCGAATTTTCCCTGGAATGAATATATAAGACTTTGGAAATAGTCAATCTCATTCAGTGCTGAAAGCTTTGAGCTCAACTAAATGCATTTAGAAATCATGTATTAAATAAACTGAATGACCTAACCATTATTATTATTATTCACAACATCAGTGGTTACTTTAAATCAGTGTAAAATTATTAGTTATTTCATTCTTTGTTCCCTTAAAAGTATGCTTCTAAATTTCAATTACATTTTTAACTAAAGTCTCTAAATGTGCTATTTACAACGTAAAATTTTATCTGCATGCTTTCATAGGCTCTACCGGTTGTCTTCTTAGTTAAGGGATTTTAATCATTTTGAATTAGTTGAAAAATGACATCAAGAAGTTGAAAGAACACTAAAAAGATGTTAATAGATAATTCATCGTAATTAATTGTAATATTGTTGCCAAATTGTTTGGTTTAGAACTGAGTAAACGTCTTGTGAAGCAAAGGTTCGATTGACAGTTTTTTTTTTACAAAAATAATTGAATTTTCTTCTTTGTTTCATAAATAGGGTGTATGCAAACAATGGAATAGTAATGATCTAACGAAACTTTTTAAGGAAAATTAATAAGTGAAAATATTTTCTTTGCAACAAAAGTCAGTTTATAAGTAAACGATTGCTATAACAGAAATAACTGCTCAATGCTCAACTATAAACATGCATTTAATTTTTCTTTGAAGTTCAGTTATTTTATTGACTGAGTGAAAACCCAAATGGATAGTTTCAATCACTTATATCAATGCACGTGGACAACTAAGGACACTCATTTGACTGGAAAAATGTGGAAATCTTGGACAGAGGGAATCCCTAAATCATCAGAGAATTTTTAGAAGCTCGGCACTCAGGTCAATCAGCAATCAACAAGCACATTGAAATCGATCCAATTTATCAACCAACCAGGGAAATTCTGCACAAACCTAGAAACAAAAATCAAACCAATGGGAGATACAACCAAACCAAAGAAGTAAACAATGACAGGTCTAAGGTCAACAAGAACCAATCAACATCGTGGTCTACAGGACAAGCTGTGAACCATATGTGGAGAAATTCGGACACTTCACTTCTACCTGAAGTTTGTGCTGATGATGTCGTTCAGAAAAACGATGAAAGCTCCACGATCAAACCATCCAGCTCAGAGAAAGAAACTTCATCAAAAAGTAACTTCATTATACGCAATCAACTTTTCAAAATCTTTAAGATTATTTTCAGCTAAAGTGAAAAATAATCAAAAATGAAATGATAAGAAGTAACTACACTTATGGGCTAATTTTATCAATTACAAATAAAAGAAAAGAATTATCGTTATGCTGCTTTGTGAAATACTGTCTTTTGTACTAAATCTTTTGAAGTGATAAAATTTATTAAAAACAAATTCTGTAACAGCAAAACTTAGAACTTAATTAATAAATAATTAAAAGGTGATTATTATTTATTATCTGAATCAGTTCTATGTTAAAAACTTATGTGTATGAAAATGGCTAATTTACCTATTTTAATTTATACTTTCGAACAATAAAATAATAGTGGAGAGACAATGATTTTCACGGGTAAAACAACTAATCACTACAGCTGACTATAGGTTTTTGATTAAATTTTCTCTTTCCTTACTAAGAGCTAACATTGAAGACTTTAATTATATTATGATTTTTCGTAAACACTAAATTGCTACATTAAAAAGAAGAATATATTTGTAAAATCTCAGCGAATGAATTTTAAGTAAATCCAACGTTTCGCCTGGCAATCTGGTCCAAGCTTTTTCAAGGAAAATATATATTCTCCTTGAAAAAGCTTGGACCAGATTGCCAGGCGAAACGTTGGATTTACTTAAAATTCATTCGCTGAGATTTTACAAATATATTCTTCTTTTTAATGTCTCAAATTAACTCGGCGCCCAAATATTGTGAAACTATTCGTTCAAATTTAGACGAAAGTTCTTATTTACTAAATTGCTACTTTGTAATGCTTGTTTGTTTTCATTTTTAGGAGATGTGTATTCAAGCCCGACTACTTGCATCATCAAACATTTCCTTACAAACAGTACTGAGTGCATTGCCGAAACCACCTTCACTTAAATCTTCTGAAAAGGCCATTGAAACTCTAAAAGTAACCACATTTCTTTAAGATCTCTTGATACAGAAAATTTATTTTTCTCTTTATCTGAAAATAATTTTAAAGATTTCGAAAAGTTGATTATGTATTATGAAGTTTCCAACAATGCACAAAGAAAGAAAATGTTTTTAGGAAAGGATAGTTTTCATTATAAACGTTAAATAAATTGGCCACATAAAACATATATGTATATATATGAGAATCCTCCTCGGTCTTTTCCTGTTCCCACAGAGCTTTTTAAATTGGCTCAAGATTAAGGACTTTCGAAACCACCCCTCAAGATTTATCAAATGACCAATGAAAAAAGTAAGCGATTTAAAGTAAAAAAAGAGTCGACAAACGTCAAAAATAAGTTACTTGGATTTACATTTAGATTACTTTTAAATAGTTGAAGAGATGGACGTTAGGTTTTATTAGTTTAGGTTAGATTGCCCTACATATATATTCCTGATTATTAATTATTTGAGGTGCGTTTTTGTCCTTGAATATTTGAAATCTCATTAGGCGAAAACCAAATGTTCTAGACCTAGGTGTAGTGAATGTTGGTACCCAATAAGGAAAAAATGTTTACTTTTCAAACGACTTGAATTTTTTGTCATCTACTAGCCAAATCAAAGATGTCGCTTTGAGTTATTGCTGATATTACCATACCACGATATCATTTACAACTATGCATATAAAAATTTCTAAATTGAAATCTGAATAAAATCACACATTAGTTTTAATGTTAGAATCCTAAAACATTTTTTGTAAGTAATATGTAAATCACGTATATTCGCTTTGTCACTTAACATTAGGAAATGGATATATTGGACACTTTTGAAGAATTAACTGAATTGGGTTATCATATTTGTGACATGTCTATACCACCTCGTTATGCTAAAATGGTTCTATTCAGCGTTGTATTAAAATGCCTTGATCCAATTCTTACAATTGCATGCATACTGTCGTACACGGAGCCATGTAAGTTAAAATTTTAGAATTACTGATCATGTTTTATCACTTGTTAGTTTTATAAGTAAAGATGGCTAGTGGCTAGCAGTGGAATGGTTGTAAATTAAGGCAATATCGAGGCAATACGCACAGTATGCACATATGCCAATAAGAGACTGATCAATACCAGTCCTAAACATCAATGGGAAGATTCAAGTAAAAACAAGACCAAGTGAATTGCTTGTTAGTTTTAGTTAAATTTCTCTCTCTCGCTATATATATATATATATATATTCATTACAATTTTCGACATTTATTAGGAAGTTTTGATACCATTTGTACACCAAATCATAAGAAAACATCTGATTACTTGTGAATTTTAGCATATTGGAATACTCAGGTGTACAAATACAAATATCAAGTATTTTGGAACCCGTTCATCTAAAACACATTTAGTGTAAGCTCAGCATTTTATATCATTTACATGATGCAGGCAAAGATTTAGAGAAGTCCACGTCTAAACCTACTTGATATTGGAGATGATTTAATCATCTGCAACTCGGAACCTCAGTTTTGCATACAAAAGCTGTTTGGATGCCCTAAGTTTCATCATATTTTACTTTCACGCTTACAGAAGTATTTCCATTTTTTATGATTTCGTTATATTATTATCATAAAAGATGTTTCTTATTCAAATGGTTTATTACATTGATATTACACGCTGTCATTTCAACAATTACGTTTATCATCTTCACATTCACTGATAATCATGATGATTAGGTATCTCCTACATTTCATTTGATCCTACTTCTGTAAATTATTTACTGTAAACTATGCAGTTGATTTCTGACAACTTGCTGACATATCATTTGTTTTCTAATTTGGTTATAAAGTTGGTACTAATTTTTTCTTCCATCTAAATTACCACGGACAATTAATTCTTCATATTTTTATTCAATTGGTTTTTGAAGTAAACTACCTAGAAATGCGGCTGAACGACGAGATTTGATGAATGTTCGAAGAGGTTTATCATCAAACAGTTATAGTGACCATATGGTATTATTAAGAGCTTTCCAGGTATATGTGTTATCATTTTTAAACATAGTACTAAAAAAAATTTGTCCGTTCAGTTTTGGCAAAAATCTCGCTCAGAAGGATGGGAGAAGGCGTTTTGTCAAAAACATTTTATATCTACAGCAACTTTTGAAATTATTATCGCTATTCGGTGGGTTTATCTCTTATATTTTAGTATAAGGAATTTACGCGAATGAATTTTGCACATGATTTACTGACTAAAAATTATGACGGTCATAGTGCTTTTTTATTCTGACTACGAATGGTAGTGATAATGAAATGAGAACGCAATCAGTCAAGTGTTAATAACATTACCATGCCTTGTTGTTTAGTTTCATGATAGACACACAAAAAGTACACAAATGTCATAGTCCATTATAAGTCTGAGTCAAATTTGGAATATCAAACTGATGAATAGAACTATCACTCAAATCTTACAAACAAGTTATATTATATTATCAATCATCAGCTCAATTTAAATGTCTTTTTTCCAGTTGAATATCACAAATTAACAATAACTTTTCATCACAGTAAATTGTGGGAATGAAAAACAACAATCATTATAAACTGTATGAAGTTTCTAAAAGACAGAAATTGGTATGGTGAAATAAAATCTCTAATTAAATAACACCTAGGATTGTATTCATGAATATTTTTCTTTAAAACTGGAAGATTTCGTGTTTAGATGCTTCTTAATTTCTTTAACATATTCAAATACTTTTATAAACTAATTGAAATCATGACCAAAGTTAGACCAACAATGAAAACCTGAAGGCACTGGACGGCTGTTACGGGCTAGTATGGGACTCCTAAGAAGTGAGTATCAACAACCTGCACGTGGAAATCAGACCTAGAACCTCTAGTCTCGCGAGCGAACTCTGAATTCCTAAAACACCAGTTCTGTTTCTAACGACGCTAATGTCTAACCTCACACAATCCGTGACATTGTGCGACCTTCAGTTGTTTCTGGTGGGCAACTTTCACGGATTAGCTCCACTTGAGACGGCTTCTCATTAGAACTCCAGAAATTTCCTCTCAAAGCTAGTCACTGGTTAGCACATGATCACTGTCAGTAAGGCGTTGTAGAGATTGTCGAATTTTACTGGTAAATTAACTTAGATCGACTCATGATTTCAATGAAATTCAATAGTCTCCACAACGTCTTACTGGCTTCTATAATCACTGTGAATTTCATAATCTTTTTAATAAACGAAAATTCTGGTAAGGATTTCATTGGTTTATTTTTACGTCTTAAGCTTGAAACGCCCTTAGGAAATCTTTAGTAGAATTTTGATTCAGTAACTGAAAGGCATTACTGAAAAAAATTACCTCATTAACATGACTTTTACAAACTGTCTGTTTAGAACTCAACTACTTGGGCAAATTAGAGCTTCTGGCTTCGTAAAAACGAAAGGAAGTGAAGATATTCGAGACCTTAACAGCAATTCGGAAAATTGGGCTGTTGTCAAAGCTGCAATTGTAGCTGGTCTGTATGGAAATTTAGCTCAAGTAGATAGGAAGAATTCGTGTTTGAGAATAGTAAATGGAAATTCATCGCCAGTAAGTTTTACAATTAATTTTTTGTATAGGATGTCAACAACATGTAACTGCAGTCCTTATATAATCAGTAATGGACCATAAAAATGGTTGCATGTTTTGCAGTGAATGAATAACTTTGTTTTGGTGGATCTTTATAATTCAAGCTCCATCCCTCATATTACATTTGTTCCACAAAGGTAATCCAAGATCAAATTTCGCACCTTATTGTTCTATGCTACAACAAAAATAAAATCAAAGGTCATTACAAACATGTACCAAAATTACCGTCGGATCAGAATGTTAATGGACATGTGTCCCGTAAAATGATGAGGGATAATGTTTGCAATAAATCGCTAAACAGAATAACCGAAGCCAACGAAAACACTAACCCAGTTAATATCATGTAATTTTGTTTGCTTAAATAATATAACAAGCTCCTATATGTGCACATTATAACTAGAACATACGAGCAGTTTGTCAACTGATTAGTACCCAAACTTCTGATTGTCTTGAAAGACTCATAGGTTGATAAAGAAATTAGGTTGTTTGAACTTGTTTAACTTGCTTACCATAATAGATGTGTTTCATAAAAACGAAGACAGATCTAGAAAGGTCTGAAAACGGTACGTCCTAAACAAGGATAGCAACAAATAAAGCTTTGTATGTCACTTCTTTTAAACTTTTCCTATGACAAGAGTGATTATTGTTATCTACTCGACTGTTTCGCCCTTAAAATTGTTTTCAGTCAGTCAGTCAGTAAAAACGTAGAACTTCGTACGTACGTACATCAGTTCGAGTTGCCACACCACATTAGCACAGAGATGCACTTGTCGATTCAAATCCCGTGGTGGTAGAGGTAATAAGAGTATAAGCAGTAATCGGGAAAATTAGTGTTTGGAGATGTTATTCAAAGACTATAATACAGTGAAATAAATTTGGGAAGAGAAGAAAAAGAGACAAGGAGGAATAAAGAGATCAAAATTTGGAAGAACACAAAGAGTGTATGCACCTGCGCCATTGCAAAAGATTTTGAGCCATGTCATTCAGGGTCTCTAACCATCGGATGCCATCATCTCGCGGTCCCCATCCAGGTAGTCTACACCTACGAACATGACTCAGTTCACTTGTCAGTGACTTCATGGACTTGTGCCATGTTTTGGTTTGGCCGCCTCTAGCTTTCTTCCAACCTACTCCTATAACACTGAACATAGCACGTCGAGGCAGTCGGTCGTTGGGCATACGTAACACGTGTCCCAGCCATCTCAACTGATGAAGTTTCACTACTTCATCAATTGATTTGCCATCCTTACCTAGTACCCGTTTCCTAACAATTGTGTTACTTACTCGATGGTCCCATGATATACGAGCAATGTTTCGAAGACACCTATGATCGAATACTAGTAACCTACGAATATCCTCTACTCTTACCAGCCATGTTTCACTGACATGAAGTAGGACGGAACGAACTGCTGCGTAGTAAACACGTCCTTTGGGTGATAGACAGATATCTCGTCTACGCCATAAATGACGCAAATTGGCAAAAGCTAATCGAGCCTTCTGTATCCGTGCTGAGATTTCATCACACACCAAACCACAAGGGCTGATGAGACTTCCAATATAAGTGAAGCGGTCGACACACTCAACTACTTCACTCCCTATCATTAGTTCGGGTGTCGATGTAACCCAATCCTGAAGCAACATTTTGCATTTCGAGGGAGAGAATCGCATCCCGAACATGCTTGCATTGTTGCTTAGAGTGGTCAGAAGACTCTGCACTTTGTCAGCGTCTTCACCAAATAAAACTATGTCATCTGCATATTGTAAGTCAACAAGTGAACCTCCCGGTAGAAGTTCTACCCCTGGAAATCTAGACGAGGAAAATTTTATCTCTAAAATTACGTCGACCACAAAGTTGAACAAGAATGGGGAGAGTGGACAGCCCTGACGAACACCACTTGAGGTAATCAATTCTGATGACAGTTTTGCCATAAGCTCTCACTCTACCAGTTATGTTCGAGTAGAGAGCCTTTATAAGGTTAATGTACTTCTTTGGTACTCCTTTCAGTGTCAAACACTGCCATAGAACCTCACGATCAACAGAGTCGAATGCCGCCTTAAGGTCGAGAAATACTACCATTGTGGGGCGTCTGAATGTGTGTCTGTGTTCTAGAACCTGACGTAGTGTGAATATCTGGTCTATACAACCAGGTCCAGGTCGAAAACCGGCCTGGTTTTCTCTAGTCTGCTCTTCACGAGCTTTAGTTAAGCGTCGAAGTATTATTGAAGCTAATATTTTAGACACTATATTAGTCAAACTGATTCCTCTGTGACTGTCACAAGAGGACTTTTGTCCTTTCTTATAGACTGGCACAATCAGTGATTGAGACCAGTCAGATGGTGGTCGGGTTTGCCTATCGTGATGACCTTACCGAGCTATATTGTCTGGAACATATGTTCCTGTAGGTTCTACCATGCCAGGCAGGTCGATTGGAGAACGGTAAGACTAAAAGCACCAACTCAAGGTCTGAGGGCGAAGTCGTACTGCTGACTGTAGAGGGGTGTGACAGCGGTAAGGTGTTTCCCCCGAAAAACCAGCATCTTCAGCGATGCTGCCTTCCCACAAGGAGGAATGGGGTTAGAAAAGGTCGACCCTAAAATGTCACACCTCACCTTACCTCACGGATTTCCGTCTCCGGCGGTAAGGCCCTTTGAAGAACGAAGCTAACACATTAAAAACCTTCCACGAAAACGCCGTGCGCGACCGGCCTCAAGTAGTTGTCCCTTGGGCACTGCGGTCACGCTCCCAGGTCGTTAAGACCGACACTAATCCAACTTCTTTTTCAGGTTGTGCTTGATCCCCAATCTGTGATTGCCACAAATTCCAATGGAGAAGAAATGAACGTAAACAATTTACCTTGTGATTGGCTTGTTTTTAATGAAGTGCTTACTTTAACTGATCCAAAGTTACACGCCTCTCCGGAATCTAGCAATGCAGATCACATGGCGTTAAAGAAACTAAAGATCATACGATGTGTTAGTATCGTTTCACCAATTACTGTAGCGCTAATGGGCGGATCAATTAGAGTATGTCCACAGATAGAAAAAGAAACCCATTCGATTGCAAATGGTAAGCAAGTTTAATAAATCGGTAAAATACATTATTTTCTACGTAATAGTAACAATGTGGCTCAGAACAAATATAAATTAATGTTTTAGTGATATGGGGGAAATGTTTCTAAAACGGACAGGAGTTTAGTGTCTATGGGTACAAATTTACACTAGTCACTCATCTTACACTACTATAAAAGTTCTTCGAAACTCAGTCACTTAAACACTTTTTAGTTGTGCTGAATACGAAGTAATTAGCCGAATTTATCTAATATTATGGTGAAGGACATTTCATTTTGGATGTAAAATTACATACCTATTGGCAATTAACTTTACTTCCTTACCTGATAGCTGTATTTGAATTCATAGATCTAAATATTTAGTGCATTTATCCATAAAAATGAGATCGTTTGCTAGCATGATGGTCTGAGTTATGGTAAAAATTATATTGAGTACAAAGAACGGTCTTTCCTGTGGATGATTCTCGTTATCTAATTCCAAATTTGCCATATATACTGTGTTGGAGATAACTAATTCAGTAACCAATATTTGGGTAGTTAATCTCTTCTATAAAAAAACTTTAGATTCTTTATAAGACGTAATACTTTCCTCTGGATACGTTGAAAAGATTAAATTTTAAAAACAATTTGAAAAAAATATGAAAATCTTCAGAATATGTTCTTGAAACTCATTGGGTTGTTCGGGGACTGATCTGCATTGACAGTGTTGAACAGTGTGAATCCATATTACATAGCAATATTCTTGATGACTCGATCTTGAGTTAAAACGTTTAAACAGCTTCCTTATTGAAGAAAAGTGTTTTTGTTTCCAAATACATATCTCATTATAAACACTGTATTCATTTTATTTATTTATCCGTTTTCTGAAAATAGTTAAAATCAGATGCAACTGAAAGATGACTTAAACGAAACAAGTTCTTAGATAAATTTTCAATGCGTACTAATTTTATTGAACAAATTCATTCCTTTTTATTTATGACTTTTTAATGATTCCAGACCTGAATCTTAAAACATCTTTGGAAGAACTACAAAGGCAGAAGTGCAAAAACTCAGTTCACAAACAAGAAGTCTGTAGTGGTATAGGTAACAAAAATGAAGATAATGCCGGCAAAGCTTGCATGAATCCAAAAGACAGATTGGAAAATGATTTAAACTCTAAGTCTGTTTCAGAAATCAATATGATTGCCACATCGCTTTTGGAAAACAATGGACAATCGCTATACATCCAACAAAAAACAATCAAGCAAAATCCATGCAGTATGTTGTCTGACTCGGATACGACAAGAAGTTCTAGTTTTAAAAGCTCGGAACTAGATGATTCTGCTCTAAAAATGTTAAAACATTTTAATTCTTTGCATAACTCAGACTGTTCCGATAATGTAAAATCACTGTCTTCACAAAAACAGACTAAACTTAGTCATCCGTCAGTAGAACAACCGAATATAGAGTCTTCATTATCAACAATAGACCAGAAAAATAATGTCGTATCATTTCATTTAGATCCATATAAATTTCTTCGATTCACCGTAAATTCAAATGAAGCATTAATGGTGACAGAATTAAGACAAAAATGGCATGCTTTGTTTCTGCGTCGTTTGAAAAATCCAGGGAAACAACGTTCACAACAAGATGAGGTAATGTAAAACTGTTTAACATCAATTAGTTGATTATCGGTATAGATGGTTGTGATTTCCAAGTACTATTGATATCATTGAACGACCTAAGCTAAACATCCAGTTAGAACTATGAAAGGCTGGATAGCTGTTTCGTCCTAATATGGTAATCCTCAATAGTGTGTTCACAACCTTACTGGGGATCAGACTCAGGACCTTTTGTCTCGCATGCAAACACTTGGCTACTGAGAGATAATCCTATGGTGTACCTAACTTCAACTAACTCACAAGATTCAGTAATCCCTAATCAGTTATGTGAAATACAACAGACAGACTACTTTTTTGTCCAAAAGATTGGGGATGATCCTACAGTAATCTTCACCCAACTGTCAAATATTATTATTAGTATTTTTTGATTTTTATCTGTGCTACTAATCTACTTATTCTCTGCAAGGTAATCAGCAACCTACTACAGTTTCCAATCACGATGGCTATCGAATCAATTCAGTTGTTCGTTTCACATCCTTGTTACCCAGTAGAAAACTATTTCGAAAAATACTTTGAAGTTATAGGGATTGAATCATAACTTTCTTACTCAGACTATTTCTTCTCTAAATTGCTGCATTAATTGAACTTTTTAGTTTCCACAGAATTACATGGTATAAGTTTTGCTTTACAGACTCAGTGTGATTGACATAGGAAAACAAATAATCTCACTTATGAGTTATTACAGTTATTGAGATTATTTTATTGCAGTTTATACTGCTAACCTGCCCTAACGTGTTTAAAGAAATTCTATAAATTTAATTATTTTTATGAGCTTATATTAGTTACAGATCTAAAACTTTATGTAAAAGGATATCGTGTCATGTATTTGAGTAAAGTGGTTAGCTGAAACGCCTCAAAAAATGAATTGTCGTCTTTAGTTCTGTTGAGAGACTGCTAATTTAAAGAGATGTTTGCTACACAGTCTCATGCTGAGGTCTGATTATTATCTAGTCTGAATTTAGAAATGTTTTCATCAAGAAGGCAGAAAGTTGTTGGAAAGAAATCGCCTTGCGTTTGGTCTAAAAATTCATAAACCATAAATGAGACAGTATATTAAGACCGTAAGTTCTCAAAAAATACCTCTGAAGTTACAAGTTGCTTAACTGATGATAAACTTTTTGCGTTATTATATTTATACATTATTACTTTATCTAACGTAGGCAGTTTTAAAGTGTTTGGTCAATGTTTTGACCAATGAAGAAAAGGCACTAGGATTACGTCAACCATTCGGTGTTGGGGCACGTCCTCGTCCTATGACAGTAGAACTTTATAATCGGGTTGATGACGATCCTAAAGATATGAAAGTAATTAGTGAACAGCCTGTGAGTAATAGATATGGATCGATTGTTTTTACCACTGCAGAAAATAACATCACTATTCCTATATTTTTATCAAACACGAGCTCGGTAAAACAAAACAATTTTAGATATAATTATTCCTCAATCACAAATCCAAAACTAACACAAGTTTTAAGTAGCAATAATTTCAACAAACCCCGCGAACAGTATTCGTTTCAAGCTTACAAAGACGATAACAACACAAGTGTGTACAATCCAATCAAACAAATAAACAGTTCAAGTACAGAAATATGGAAATATCATCTCCCTTCAAATACAACTGACGACATTGATCCCATGTCAGTCTACCAACCGTGTAAAGTGAGTTAGCCCCAAGTCGTTCGTAATTCAGCAGTCAAAATCCAGTTACCGTTTTTGATTGCTTTTTATAATGTCCAAGACATTTCGTAACACGTTTATTTATTAACAAAAGTGATATAGGACGGTAGTCTAGTGCTTAAAATACTCAGTTTACAGCTACGAAATCGTAGGACCGAACTCCACTGTACCTACTTCCATTCGGATAAACATCACTAGTCCTCACACAAACTGTGTGATAAAAAGACAATTAAATAAACTTATACCTGGTGAATGAACTATATTAATATTGGAATTATTTTATCACAGTCAATGACAAACGAATGGAAGTTCCTACACGTTTGTGCCAATAAAAATTATATTAGATATTTATATGATAGATAGGTAAAAAAAAGTATGCAGTGCATTTATATGGTATAGCAGTAGAACTGGAAATGAAATATATCCAAAATGTTACCGCTGTGTATATTAGAAACGAAATTTGGAACGATTTAGAAATAATGTAGTGAAGGCGAACATAGGTGAGGACAACCAGTTATATTAAGCAAAAAATTATAGTTACTTGTAAACTAGAAAAACCATACTCCAATACTTCATTCGCAAAATGTCCATTAATTGTCTCAGACTTCATTGTGCCAGCATTTCCATACCAATTGCTTTCTGTTGCCGTTCTTTCCTCCTCGATCTTCTCAACCATCTGCTACCAGACATTCTATTCCTGACTAGTGTTATATTATACTTATGTCGATATAAGCAGAACACACCACAGTATGACTGGTATACTTCATTGAGAATTCCCTCTTAGATGACGTATGGTAGATTATTTGATAACTGTAGAGACAAACTTCATTACATACAATGTTATTAAATATTTACAACTGTAAAAAACTTCCCAATATGCCACAAAATGTTGTAGTCAGAACATATTTACCCAGAATTATCAGAGCTACTCAAGTTATCTACCAGCAATCTATATAAAGAGTAACCTTATCTAATTAATTTGAAATATTTCATTCGAAAAAAGTGACGGAAATGGGAGTATAGATATAAATGTTCTGATAGAATGAGAGATGACCTTCCATTCTAATCCAACGCTGACTGTTTTAGTCATTCAGTAAACAATCATCATGTTATTACAAAAGATTACGTTAATGTGCATAGTGAGTTGCGCACTTTTATCTGTTTGTAGCTCAACCATTCACTCCCTTTCTTTTTTTGGACTTCTGAATATAATAATCATTGTTATAATGTCTGGATGCCATTCAAAAGATTATCCACAGCATCCTATTCACTACTAGTTAATTTCGCTTCATAAGTAATTACAATGTTTTAAAATAAGAATGAACCTCAACGATTTCACATTGTTTCTATTTCAGGTTAATATTTCATTATCAGAAGGCAAGGACAATTTAACAATCAGTGATATGATTAAAAAATTTTCAGAAACGCATATTAACATTCAAAACTTTAAATGTGATTCGTTACCTAATTTAAAACGATTGGATGTAATGGAAAATAAAAAACACCAAAGCAGTGAATACGAAATTCTAAGAAGTAAAATACGTCATCTTCCGACCACATCTGAAGGTAAAAACAGTCCAGGTACTCTGTATGGTCCTCATCCTCTAAATACTGTAACTAATCATTTTGATGTTACCTATCCAACTGCTAATCATAATAACATAACAATAGGAAATGATATTGTTTTTCGTGACATCAATGATATAATCTATGCATTATTAAATGATATAAACAAAAATTATAACTGAGTTTATTTCATTATTCGACAGTGTGATTCAAGCAAGATCATATACTAGTTCATCATTTGTTATTGACTGCGTTCATCTGCACAACTTCCGTTTGTTTATATTTTAACTTGTTGAAGTATATTTTTGGTTGCTTTTGTCATTTGTTCAGTTGCATTTTCAACTTTATTCTCTCATCTCTTCGTTTACTAACTGAATGGGGAAGGGTTAATAATCAAGTGACTGATAAAAAGTACAACTTTAAAGTATTTCATTAACACCACTAGTCAGCTCTGATATAGAATGACAACATATGTTAGTTGATTTGTCTTATCACATCACTAGTAATACAAATTCTGTTCATCACGTAAAATTTAACTGAAAGATGATAAAAACAAGTTCACCGACTTATGCACATATATGAAGCTTGTGAATGGTAAACTTACGAAAACCAGTATCGTTTCAGACTTGATCATGAATGAATCGATCAAATACTCACTTCATCAGGTTTTAGAACACAGGAATACTTTCTGACATCTGGCTATAATTGTATTTCTTTGTAGACTGACAAGCTTTGTAGCAGTGTCACATATTATTCTTGACGTCATTGTAAAATGTGGAAATAAAAAACATGGCTGCCTAAATATGAAAAGCGTCATGATAAGACTATTTGAGTTATGCTTTATACGAATCAACTGTTAACATTCGACAGTCAATAAAAAGTGATATTAAAAAGAAAATGAAAATATCTTTTCTTTTTACCTTCTCTTTATGAATATACTGACTATTAACTTCGGAGTTTACCAGCGGGAATCCTGACTGTTCAATGCATTTCCAAACATGTAATTGTATACTTTAATCATCCATTATAACTTATCGTACGATCGTTAAGCGAAATCAGAATTCTGTCTTGTTTACAACTAGTGTGAAAATATCTCATTTCCTTCATTAAAAGACTAAACTACTAACTGACAAAGAATTACACTTAAGTTTATAAATACAATTTCGTAATTAACGTGGTTAGTGAATACAAAGTCATTGTAGTATCTGTTCGTCCGAGTTATTAAGCTTATCTGAGAGCAAACGGAAGACTAAAATGAAAATAATAGGGGAGGGACGCTTAAGATGTATTAGCTGGAATCTGAGTGATTTTAAACATATCGATAAAAACAGAAGTTGGAAGGAAACATGAGTGGATAAAAAAATGATGAAAGGAGGAATTCCACCTTATGAAATGAGAAGTAAAAACAGCTGTGAAAGTTGAATTTACGATGAGCATTGTCTAAAATAACTACACACATCACTCTACAAACAACAGCGAGATAGGCTGTATTCCAACTTTATCGGATAATTTGCTTCCGTCATTTAGTTGGAAGTAGTCAAAAACATGGCTCATTAAAAAATTCTAACAACCTTTATGCATTGCTTATTTTATAACTTTATGAAATTATTTTTTCTATAATGCTGGTAAAGTTGTTCTAAACCATAACTATTGTATGTAACAGTGATGTTTTCAAGTATATTGCACAAGGTTAAGTCGTGTTGATACACCTAATTGGAGAAGCTAACTAATAAGGTAAATAATATGTTATGTTTTACTATATTCCATTTAGAATCTAAAGAAAATTTATGATAAAGGAAGTTGTTTATTTTTTTAATAAATAAATTATGTACAATTTATCGTATGAAAACAGTGGAAAAGTAATTTATTTTAGTCGCTTTCCTCTTCATCACTTATTTTCGCTCTTACTTTCTTACGTGATCGAGGTTCTGATATCTGTAAAAAGAAAAATAAGACACCCTCGTTGGAATGCAGAATGCTTGTTAAGAACAAAAAATACATACACTTTATTCCCAAATATTCCTTCCGTCTTCTTAACTAAGATTTGAAATTATACACATGCTTAGCGAAGCAAGAAAAGTAGTTTCTTCGTAAAAAGTGGTTGTATCTTCCTTAACTAAAAGATTTCTTCTGATTGTACCTTTCCGTTCCCCCGTTATTACTATTATTATTATTACACTACCTTACACCAATCTCTTCGTTATTGTTCTGTTTTTGCGCTCCATACCTTTTTTTCCTTCTCTCTAAATTCTCATTGTTTTGTGTGGCGCATATATATTTGGCGCACTCTTATGCCAATATTTATGAGTTCAAATAAATAAATAAATAAATAAACATGCTAAGCGAACTACATGAAGCTTAGAGATAATATGAAACGTTTTACAATGAGGTAATCAGAACTAAGATTCGAATCAATGACCAAATAGGTGGAGATAAATTGTTTGAAGCACTAATGTACAGATTCTCGTGGGATTAAAGTTACATTAATTCTAAGAACTAGTAACAATTTGAAGTGAAAATTCCAACGAGAAAACAATTAATTTTTCTGTAACTAAATCTAGTATATCCAGCCTATAAATTTATTCCAAGTCAGTTTAATATTACTATACCTGAGAATATTTTAATTGACCTATCCATTTCTCGATCTGTTTAAAGTCATATTTTATTTACATGTTGAATTACCTTCACTAATAACAACCAAGTTCTACATACATTTGCATGTGATATTTCATAGTTAAACCAATCGGATGAAAGATATGTAGATATTACCATAGTGCATTACTTCAGTTATTACAACTTACATCACTTAGAGATTCCTCATCAGATGAATAAATTGCAGCAACATCTGAAGTGATTGAAAAACAATACAAAAAGTATTACTTAATACGACAGAAAAAGTAGAAAAACTTCCAAAAATTAAGAGCATGGAATATTAAACAGTCATTATGAGAAATATAGCCTGTTTGTTGATATGAGAATGAGGATACAGATTACGCGAGTGGTCAGTCAGTCAGTCAGTCAGCTACAACGTAGGACCAGGCACATATGTGCATCGGTCCAGGTTGCCATACCTCATTAGCACAACAAGATGAACACCGGATTCATAGGAGTGGTTAGGTCAAAGGTTGCAACAAGGATAAAGTATAGAAAGAAAGAATTAGTTCGTAGAAAGAAAGATATGAAATGATTTTAATCTCTTAGTTTAAGGGAAGACAAGGAGTGCATACGCGAGTGGAATATTTAATGGAACGAGATCACAGGAAAAGCAATGACGTGTGTTTACCTAACGTGATCTTAGTCTTGTAATCGATCATTAATAAACATTATCATATATATGAGCTATTAGGTAGATTACGCACCTTTTTATAGGCACTCTGAAATTTTTACCTGTGTTCTCAGTAAAGTAAATCTCCGAATAGATGGGCTGACATATTTTTTATGAGGAATGCCAACAAAGTAATCCTAAAATTTAATTTACCTTTACGTGCAGCCAACAATGAGTTTTTCGCATTTCTTTTTAATGCATTTAGAGATGTTGTATTACCATCATCCTCATCATCATCCTCTCCGTAACTTCGCCAACGTTCACTACCAAAACTACTTCTTGACATGGCCTGCTTTTCACGCATACGCCGTAACTGACTTTCGCGCCTGAGTGTAGCACGCAATTTCTCCTCCTCTTTCCTCACAAGCACATTACGATTTGATTCTGGATCAGCACCCGTAACAGGAAGAATTTTGACCTAAGTTGAGATAATATATAGAGTAAGAAACTTTGGAAGTACAATAAGTAACAGAAAAAACGAAGTGTGTAGTAGATAAGATATTAAACTCGAGAAAAAGAAACACTGTCAGTTTAACCATAGATTTCGAATTTTCGTCATAGCTTCATCGATCACAGTTCAAACGGATAAGTGACCGAAACAACACTCAATTAACAAGTGTATATCACAGATTCGTCTATACATTTCAGTAGTTTGTGAACATGAGTCGACTTTAATCTGTTTCCAACCACCGATTGCTTCTCCATACTGCCTTGAAACTTTTGTTCTAAGTTGGGATACATATTAAGATATGTTAAGTACGAGTACGTATAATAATATAAATGATTTACCCAATACAAATTCATATTCACAGCTTTAAATCAAACTTTTATTGTCAAGGCTAGTGATACTACTCGGTTGTCCAAACCGAAGTGCAATAGTTTTCGAACCCGAGGTTTCGCTGGTTAAAAAGGCACATTTTGCATCAGGTTAAGTTACCACATAACTCAACAACATTCTTTGTATTGATATATGAAAATCGTTGAGAACAAAATTAAGATATTGTCTGGTAATTGCTAACAATAAAATCTAGATATCAAATCTTATTTTATTTAGAATTGTTAAGGACGAAGCAACCTGAATCCTGGTACTAATATGTAATCTCATAAGAAATTAAGGGTCGTAAAAAATGCTCTGTGAAAATAATGGCTAACCAATTTTGTCTAGTAGATTGATAATAGGATGTATCAAGTTATCGAAATCCAATACAATTCGCGTATCAGTTGGCCAGAGTAATTAAATAACCTGTAAGATAACCATCGGGTTTCAATCAACGGGTGTTGCATATAGGCTTCAGTGGGAACACGAAAATTCTAGATGCAAATCCACACAATTCGAGGAGCCTAAATGTTACAAAACTTGGCTCTTGTGTGTTATTGTCATCCAACTTCGAATAACATCAAAAAGAATTTCAACTAAGAATATTGGATTATAAGTCATGAATTTTAAACTTAAAATATGCAAGCAAAGTTAAAAAGGATCCATAATAAATGGTATATCTATACGAAACTAACAGATTTTCATAAACAGGCAATAATTTTATAAATTATAAGTGAACTAACCTTTTGTAGTTTATTTGTCTTATCTGCTAGTGATAATGTGATTTTACGATGCGTAAATGAATCTGTTGAATGTGGCCTATATGTTGTAAAAATATAAATACATTAACAAGTTTATTTCAATCATAAAATAAAGTTAATAAATAAGAAAATTTTAGTTCAAGTTGTACAATAATGTATCTAATTTAAAATTCATCTCTGTTATGATTAAATTATTGCCTATTTTTATTAAATGTCATTAGCCGGATAAGACAAATAAACTAAACATCAGGTAATTGTTCTAAAAAATTTTTGGGTCAACACATTAGTTGGCTTACCAAAAAAAATATTACATATTTGTATACCTTGTTATTGTGTAAAGGAAGAGATCGCTTCATGTAGACTCAACCAATTGGGATTTTTTTATATTACGGTTAGAAAGTTAAAGAACAAGCTACGAGTAAGAAGGTACACTGTTGTTATAACGAATAAATTCTATATGTTTAGTGTCTGATAAGTTAGACTATCAATGGGATGAATTATCAAAAAAACAGCTTATCTATAGAATAGTCAGAAGCTTAAGTGCACAACATCAGTGGTTACTTCTATTTGTGCAGAACGACAGTGAAAGCTTTGGAAATGAAACTACTCAGCTTATATAACTCGACAGTTTTAAAATGCGTTGATCTGAGCAAAAGTGTTCTTTAATACATTGAGTCATTAAATTCTTTTTATTTATTTATTTATTTGAAAACCTAAGCATTAGTACAATGAGGCACCAGAATATATATGCACGACACAATATACAATACAACAATAGACATCTATATTGGGACTTTCTAAGAACAAGGCCAACCCTATCTGTTGTCCGACCTGAATTAGTGTGTTGACGTTGAAGAAAGCCAGTTTGAATGGCATACGTGGTTTTAGAAAGGCTGGTTCAGAATTCGTAGTCGGTAGTAGCATTCAATCTGGCAGTCAGTGAGTTGAGATCATTTAGATAGAAAAGGGCTTCCACCATAGATGAGCAACTTCAGCCTTCTTATCAAGGCAACAGCCATTTGCACTGACCGATATTAAACGCGTCATAAATTCTTAAGTCAAATTTTGAAAAGATCAAACCAATAAGGATCCTTTTTGTCGGTGTCCAAAAATAAGATTAATTCAAAGTAAAAGAACGAATTATACGATTACACACAAACCTGAATGTTAATTTGGTTTTTAAACTTGACTGTCCTTGTAAACCACTACCTTCTCGTATGAACAGATAATTATAGTCTGACTGAATATCTACTTTGTGTATGTCGAAAATTTCGTCCCCAAGATGTAGCGACAGAGAACCATCCGACCAACGAACAATACGAGCATTTGATTCGTGAATCATTTCACCATCAGGTGTCTTACCAATCCTCCAACGTATAGTATTTTCGACCTAAATTATTAAAAGATCTCTATGAAAACGCACTCATGTAGTTGCAGACATAAATATGCTTGGATAGAAATCCTATCAAATTTCCGAATGCAGTAAAATAATAAATTAATACGATTTGTTTCAGTATAAAAAGGAACACATAAATGAGCTAATATGAGAGCTTTTGTTGATGACTTACACTTTATATAATGAGATGAAAACATAGTAACAAATTGTACTTTGTAAGCAGAGATTATACTTTACTTATTCGAGAATGTTAGATAAAAATTTTAAGACTTAACACTAGAGAGGGATTAATCAGTTTTACGATTAGGTGTTGATTCGAAGTGTTGGAGACGTTAGATCCGCAGAACTGACTTGAGAAAGGACCTAATTTTGTAATTTTATTTAGAAAATTTGAATTTCTTTGTCACCTTCATGTCGTATTTCCCACTGGGAAATATCTTAAATGCTATTGGTCCGTTGCGTCTTTTAGTATGCTATTTGGTAACTCTCCCAAAGGACGGTTCACTGAAATTTTGTGATATAGCTATTAACATTCGTATTTACTAAAAACCACCAAGACCTAATTACTGAGTATATCATATTTTCCATACTCCAAACTTAGACCTTACATATCGCACATTATGAGCTGTTCTACTTAGATGGTACAAATCATACTGATTTTAGTACACCGCTGTCTGAAAAAATAAGTGAGATACTGTTAAATGAGTCTTATTTACATATGCGAAGTTGAGGAAGAAATTTATCAAAATAATGATTTATAGAGTTAACAAAAGGAATCATACTTTTAGTTTCAAACGTGTTCGTCCTTCTTCATCTAAAATTTCATCTTCATCCAGTTCATCTTCGTAAAAGTTAGGGTCGAACGGACGAGTTTCAACCGACAAAAAATTAGGCATTTTTACCAGATGTACCTCCCTAATCGAAAAACAAATACAATTAGTTTTGAGGTAAGCAAGATCTGCTCGTTGGATGAGGTTTTTACTTTTTATTCACAAGGATCATTAAAAATAAAGTCAGATAATATAAAGAAATTCAGAATGTGTAAAAAATAATTATTTTTCACTTAACATTCTTCCGAAATATTTTTGCATGTGACTGGTCTCTCTGCTATTAAGACAAGGATTTTTTTGAGATAATAAATCCCTAAATTACGACTAAAATTACAAACTGCTAACTAAAAACTCATATCTAAAGGTAAGTCACATTTATTTACCGAAATAGATGATGGCTTTAGGTCAAAGGATTCAGTTACAGCTTCACGTCAGAAAATATGCTTTTGTTACAGAGTTATTACTCCATCGATTCATTTGCGGTCCCATCTCATGTCTACCTGATTTTCTCTGGCCTGGTGTTCTCAAGCTCCAGTTAAACATAAAATGATTATAGAGATCAAGGTCTTAAAAGTTATTGCGTCTGAGCTGATTTATCAAAAGAATTTCGATCCGTTCTTATAAAATGGGTCAATTCATCTATGACTAGACTTGAATTTGACTGATTCTTTTCGGAAAATCTACGAAACGAAGAAGGCCGACGATGAGCTGGAAGAATTTGAGTTCTGTAGAAGACATCCAGAAAGCCTATATTTCCCTGTTATTTTATGTCTGGAATTCATAAATTACACAGACTCGCTTCAGTCTAATTTTGAGGAGACTAGTAATCCTACCTGAAAAGCCAAACCGAATTAGACTCAATGAAGTTTCAGTTTTTACATTAATGGTTCTAAGTCAACTACTTTTAATATCCGGTCACAACTTCTATTGCGTGAAAAGCATACTACTTCCTGATGGACCAGAAGAAAAAACTACGTTAATAATGGTGGTTTTACCAACCTGGTAACTTCACTATAAAACCCAAGCTACAGGTATTTAAGACCGATTACATACAGATCGTTCTAAGCTTTCAATTTTGCAGTGTCGAGTCACTAGTTGGACACACAAGTACAACCCAAAAGGATTCGATAAAATCAAGGAAAACCATGAGTGGAACCATAATAAACTTAGGATTTAGAGGAAGATGAAGAGTGAATGCAAATGGGTCACTGTGAATGATTTTGAAGTATGAAACAGTCAGTTAGCTATAAAGTAAGGCCTGAAGAAAATGTGTATTGGTTGATACATCACGCTAGTACAGAGATTAAATTAGCAAGATAAACGCCAAAGGAGTAATAGTTGTCTTCACTATAATTGCAAAAAGGAGTAAACAAAATGCGGTCTAAAAATGCTTAAAAAGGATCTAAGGAACAAAGAACACGACATAATATTGAAGCTGAGAATTAAAGATGGATCTGCACCACTTCAACCGATTTGGAGTCACGCTACCTAGTTTTAAATCTTTATCGTGTGGTTATAATTAGCACAGTTGAGCGAGTGGTTAAGAACACACCGTATGGACGATTGAAATATCTTTAAGATGGTTTTAGACTGAATGACATGTGTAAGCTTACACTATATGGCTTTGAAAATTAGTAGCTTTGGATAATTCATGTATATGTTTATTCGAAAATTCAGCTAAGGTCATTACGATTAAAATCAGCTGAAAAAATAATTAATGTCCATCACTATACAACGAAAACCCCAGAAGTGACAAATCCGTTTATTCTCAGAAAGTACTCTACTACAGCTACATTATATTTAATTACTTTTTAATGCCAAAAAGTCTGTACCTGCCTAAATCCGCACGAATCAAAGGAAAGTCAACAGATATTCTTGTTTCGTCCGGTTCATGCGCCAAATCATCCTCTACATCGTGAAAAATAATTATTTTTTACACATTCTGAATTTCTTTATATTATCTGACTTTATTTTTAATGATCCTTGTGAATAAAAAGTAAAAACCTCATCCAACGAGCAGATCTTGCTTACCTCAAAACTAATTGTATTTGTTTTTCGATTAGGGAGGTACATCTGGTAAAAATGCCTAATTTTTTGTCGGTTGAAACTCGTCCGTTCGACCCTAACTTTTACGAAGATGAACTGGATGAAGATGAAATTTTAGATGAAGAAGGACGAACACGTTTGAAACTAAAAGTATGATTCCTTTTGTTAACTCTATAAATCATTATTTTGATAAATTGTACATAATTTATTTATTAAAAAAATAAACAACTTTCCTTTATCATAAATTTTCTTTAGATTCTAAATGGAATATAGTAAAACATAACATATTATTTACCTTATTAGTTAGCTTCTCCAATTAGGTGTATCAACACGACTTAACCTTGTGCAATATACTTGAAAACATCACTGTTACATACAATAGTTATGGTTTAGAACAACTTTACCAGCATTATAGAAAAAATAATTTCATAAAGTTATAAAATAAGCAATGCATAAAGGTTGTTAGAATTTTTTAATGAGCCATGTTTTTGACTACTTCCAACTAAATGACGGAAGCAAATTATCCGATAAAGTTGGAATACAGCCTATCTCGCTGTTGTTTGTAGAGTGATGTGTGTAGTTATTTTAGACAATGCTCATCGTAAATTCAACTTTCACAGCTGTTTTTACTTCTCATTTCATAAGGTGGAATTCCTCCTTTCATCATTTTTTTATCCACTCATGTTTCCTTCCAACTTCTGTTTTTATCGATATGTTTAAAATCACTCAGATTCCAGCTAATACATCTTAAGCGTCCCTCCCCTATTATTTTCATTTTAGTCTTCCGTTTGCTCTCAGATAAGCTTAATAACTCGGACGAACAGATACTACAATGACTTTGTATTCACTAACCACGTTAATTACGAAATTGTATTTATAAACTTAAGTGTAATTCTTTGTCAGTTAGTAGTTTAGTCTTTTAATGAAGGAAATGAGATATTTTCACACTAGTTGTAAACAAGACAGAATTCTGATTTCGCTTAACGATCGTACGATAAGTTATAATGGATGATTAAAGTATACAATTACATGTTTGGAAATGCATTGAACAGTCAGGATTCCCGCTGGTAAACTCCGAAGTTAATAGTCAGTATATTCATAAAGAGAAGGTAAAAAGAAAAGATATTTTCATTTTCTTTTTAATATCACTTTTTATTGACTGTCGAATGTTAACAGTTGATTCGTATAAAGCATAACTCAAATAGTCTTATCATGACGCTTTTCATATTTAGGCAGCCATGTTTTTTATTTTCACATTTTACAATGACGTCAAGAATAATATGTGACACTGCTACAAAGCTTGTCAGTCTACAAAGAAATACAATTATAGCCAGATGTCAGAAAGTATTCCTGTGTTCTAAAACCTGATGAAGTGAGTATTTGATCGATTCATTCATGATCAAGTCTGAAACGATACTGGTTTTCGTAAGTTTACCATTCACAAGCTTCATATATGTGCATAAGTCGGTAGTTAAAAAAATGAGCTCATTAGCAATAATCGTTGATAATAATGGTGAACTTGTTTTTATCATCTTTCAGTTAAATTTTACGTGATGAACAGAATTTGTATTACTAGTAATGTGATAAGACAAATCAACTAACATATGTTGTCATTCTATATCAGAGCTGACTAGTGGTGTTAATGAAATACTTTAAAGTTGTACTTTTTATCAGTCACTTGATTATTAACCCTTCCCCATTCAGTTAGTAAACGAAGAGATGAGAGAATAAAGTTGAAAATGCAACTGAACAAATGACAAAAGCAACCAAAAATATACTTCAACAAGTTAAAATATAAACAAACGGAAGTTGTGCAGATGAACGCAGTCAATAACAAATGATGAACTAGTATATGATCTTGCTTGAATCACACTGTCGAATAATGAAATAAACTCAGTTATAATTTTTGTTTATATCATTTAATAATGCATAGATTATATCATTGATGTCACGAAAAACAATATCATTTCCTATTGTTATGTTATTATGATTAGCAGTTGGATAGGTAACATCAAAATGATTAGTTACAGTATTTAGAGGATGAGGACCATACAGAGTACCTGGACTGTTTTTACCTTCAGATGTGGTCGGAAGATGACGTATTTTACTTCTTAGAATTTCGTATTCACTGCTTTGGTGTTTTTTATTTTCCATTACATCCAATCGTTTTAAATTAGGTAACGAATCACATTTAAAGTTTTGAATGTTAATATGCGTTTCTGAAAATTTTTTAATCATATCACTGATTGTTAAATTGTCCTTGCCTTCTGATAATGAAATATTAACCTGAAATAGAAACAATGTGAAATCGTTGAGGTTCATTCTTATTTTAAAACATTGTAATTACTTATGAAGCGAAATTAACTAGTAGTGAATAGGATGCTGTGGATAATCTTTTGAATGGCATCCAGACATTATAACAATGATTATTATATTCAGAAGTCCAAAAAAAGAAAGGGAGTGAATGGTTGAGCTACAAACAGATAAAAGTGCGCAACTCACTATGCACATTAACGTAATCTTTTGTAATAACATGATGATTGTTTACTGAATGACTAAAACAGTCAGCGTTGGATTAGAATGGAAGGTCATCTCTCATTCTATCAGAACATTTATATCTTTACTCCCATTTCCGTCACTTTTTTCGAATGAAATATTTCAAATTAATTAGATAAGGTTACTCTTTATATAGATTGCTGGTAGATAACTTGAGTAGCTCTGATAATTCTGGGTAAATATGTTCTGACTACAACATTTTGTGGCATATTGGGAAGTTTTTTACAGTTGTAAATATTTAATAACATTGTATGTAATGAAGTTTGTCTCTACAGTTATCAAATAATCTACCATACGTCATCTAAGAGGGAATTCTCAATGAAGTATACCAGTCATACTGTGGTGTGTTCTGCTTATATCGACATAAGTATAATATAACACTAGTCAGGAATAGAATGTCTGGTAGCAGATGGTTGAGAAGATCGAGGAGGAAAGAACGGCAACAGAAAGCAATTGGTATGGAAATGCTGGCACAATGAAGTCTGAGACAATTAATGGACATTTTGCGAATGAAGTATTGGAGTATGGTTTTTCTAGTTTACAAGTAACTATAATTTTTTGCTTAATATAACTGGTTGTCCTCACCTATGTTCGCCTTCACTACATTATTTCTAAATCGTTCCAAATTTCGTTTCTAATATACACAGCGGTAACATTTTGGATATATTTCATTTCCAGTTCTACTGCTATACCATATAAATGCACTGCATACTTTTTTTTACCTATCTATCATATAAATATCTAATATAATTTTTATTGGCACAAACGTGTAGGAACTTCCATTCGTTTGTCATTGACTGTGATAAAATAATTCCAATATTAATATAGTTCATTCACCAGGTATAAGTTTATTTAATTGTCTTTTTATCACACAGTTTGTGTGAGGACTAGTGATGTTTATCCGAATGGAAGTAGGTACAGTGGAGTTCGGTCCTACGATTTCGTAGCTGTAAACTGAGTATTTTAAGCACTAGACTACCGTCCTATATCACTTTTGTTAATAAATAAACGTGTTACGAAATGTCTTGGACATTATAAAAAGCAATCAAAAACGGTAACTGGATTTTGACTGCTGAATTACGAACGACTTGGGGCTAACTCACTTTACACGGTTGGTAGACTGACATGGGATCAATGTCGTCAGTTGTATTTGAAGGGAGATGATATTTCCATATTTCTGTACTTGAACTGTTTATTTGTTTGATTGGATTGTACACACTTGTGTTGTTATCGTCTTTGTAAGCTTGAAACGAATACTGTTCGCGGGGTTTGTTGAAATTATTGCTACTTAAAACTTGTGTTAGTTTTGGATTTGTGATTGAGGAATAATTATATCTAAAATTGTTTTGTTTTACCGAGCTCGTGTTTGATAAAAATATAGGAATAGTGATGTTATTTTCTGCAGTGGTAAAAACAATCGATCCATATCTATTACTCACAGGCTGTTCACTAATTACTTTCATATCTTTAGGATCGTCATCAACCCGATTATAAAGTTCTACTGTCATAGGACGAGGACGTGCCCCAACACCGAATGGTTGACGTAATCCTAGTGCCTTTTCTTCATTGGTCAAAACATTGACCAAACACTTTAAAACTGCCTACGTTAGATAAAGTAATAATGTATAAATATAATAACGCAAAAAGTTTATCATCAGTTAAGCAACTTGTAACTTCAGAGGTATTTTTTGAGAACTTACGGTCTTAATATACTGTCTCATTTATGGTTTATGAATTTTTAGACCAAACGCAAGGCGATTTCTTTCCAACAACTTTCTGCCTTCTTGATGAAAACATTTCTAAATTCAGACTAGATAATAATCAGACCTCAGCATGAGACTGTGTAGCAAACATCTCTTTAAATTAGCAGTCTCTCAACAGAACTAAAGACGACAATTCATTTTTTGAGGCGTTTCAGCTAACCACTTTACTCAAATACATGACACGATATCCTTTTACATAAAGTTTTAGATCTGTAACTAATATAAGCTCATAAAAATAATTAAATTTATAGAATTTCTTTAAACACGTTAGGGCAGGTTAGCAGTATAAACTGCAATAAAATAATCTCAATAACTGTAATAACTCATAAGTGAGATTATTTGTTTTCCTATGTCAATCACACTGAGTCTGTAAAGCAAAACTTATACCATGTAATTCTGTGGAAACTAAAAAGTTCAATTAATGCAGCAATTTAGAGAAGAAATAGTCTGAGTAAGAAAGTTATGATTCAATCCCTATAACTTCAAAGTATTTTTCGAAATAGTTTTCTACTGGGTAACAAGGATGTGAAACGAACAACTGAATCGATTCGATAGCCATCGTGATTGGAAACTGTAGTAGGTTGCTGATTACCTTGCAGAGAATAAGTAGATTAGTAGCACAGATAAAAATCAAAAAATACTAATAATATTATTTGACAGTTGGGTGAAGATTACTGTAGGATCATCCCCGATCTTTTGGACAAAAAAGTAGTCTGTCTGTTGTATTTCACATAACTGATTAGGGATTACTGAATCTTGTGAGTTAGTTGAAGTTAGGTACACCATAGGATTATCTCTCAGTAGCCAAGTGTTTGCATGCGAGACAAAAGGTCCTGAGTCTGATCCCCAGTAAGGTTGTGAACACACTATTGAGGATTACCATATTAGGACGAAACAGCTATCCAGCTTTTCATAGTTCTAACTGGATGTTTAGCTTAGGTCGTTCAATGATATCAATAGTACTTGGAAATCACAACCATCTACACCGATAATCAACTAATTGATGTTAAACAGTTTTACATTACCTCATCTTGTTGTGAACGTTGTTTCCCTGGATTTTTCAAACGACGCAGAAACAAAGCATGCCATTTTTGTCTTAATTCTGTCACCATTAATGCTTCATTTGAATTTACGGTGAATCGAAGAAATTTATATGGATCTAAATGAAATGATACGACATTATTTTTCTGGTCTATTGTTGATAATGAAGACTCTATATTCGGTTGTTCTACTGACGGATGACTAAGTTTAGTCTGTTTTTGTGAAGACAGTGATTTTACATTATCGGAACAGTCTGAGTTATGCAAAGAATTAAAATGTTTTAACATTTTTAGAGCAGAATCATCTAGTTCCGAGCTTTTAAAACTAGAACTTCTTGTCGTATCCGAGTCAGACAACATACTGCATGGATTTTGCTTGATTGTTTTTTGTTGGATGTATAGCGATTGTCCATTGTTTTCCAAAAGCGATGTGGCAATCATATTGATTTCTGAAACAGACTTAGAGTTTAAATCATTTTCCAATCTGTCTTTTGGATTCATGCAAGCTTTGCCGGCATTATCTTCATTTTTGTTACCTATACCACTACAGACTTCTTGTTTGTGAACTGAGTTTTTGCACTTCTGCCTTTGTAGTTCTTCCAAAGATGTTTTAAGATTCAGGTCTGGAATCATTAAAAAGTCATAAATAAAAAGGAATGAATTTGTTCAATAAAATTAGTACGCATTGAAAATTTATCTAAGAACTTGTTTCGTTTAAGTCATCTTTCAGTTGCATCTGATTTTAACTATTTTCAGAAAACGGATAAATAAATAAAATGAATACAGTGTTTATAATGAGATATGTATTTGGAAACAAAAACACTTTTCTTCAATAAGGAAGCTGTTTAAACGTTTTAACTCAAGATCGAGTCATCAAGAATATTGCTATGTAATATGGATTCACACTGTTCAACACTGTCAATGCAGATCAGTCCCCGAACAACCCAATGAGTTTCAAGAACATATTCTGAAGATTTTCATATTTTTTTCAAATTGTTTTTAAAATTTAATCTTTTCAACGTATCCAGAGGAAAGTATTACGTCTTATAAAGAATCTAAAGTTTTTTTATAGAAGAGATTAACTACCCAAATATTGGTTACTGAATTAGTTATCTCCAACACAGTATATATGGCAAATTTGGAATTAGATAACGAGAATCATCCACAGGAAAGACCGTTCTTTGTACTCAATATAATTTTTACCATAACTCAGACCATCATGCTAGCAAACGATCTCATTTTTATGGATAAATGCACTAAATATTTAGATCTATGAATTCAAATACAGCTATCAGGTAAGGAAGTAAAGTTAATTGCCAATAGGTATGTAATTTTACATCCAAAATGAAATGTCCTTCACCATAATATTAGATAAATTCGGCTAATTACTTCGTATTCAGCACAACTAAAAAGTGTTTAAGTGACTGAGTTTCGAAGAACTTTTATAGTAGTGTAAGATGAGTGACTAGTGTAAATTTGTACCCATAGACACTAAACTCCTGTCCGTTTTAGAAACATTTCCCCCATATCACTAAAACATTAATTTATATTTGTTCTGAGCCACATTGTTACTATTACGTAGAAAATAATGTATTTTACCGATTTATTAAACTTGCTTACCATTTGCAATCGAATGGGTTTCTTTTTCTATCTGTGGACATACTCTAATTGATCCGCCCATTAGCGCTACAGTAATTGGTGAAACGATACTAACACATCGTATGATCTTTAGTTTCTTTAACGCCATGTGATCTGCATTGCTAGATTCCGGAGAGGCGTGTAACTTTGGATCAGTTAAAGTAAGCACTTCATTAAAAACAAGCCAATCACAAGGTAAATTGTTTACGTTCATTTCTTCTCCATTGGAATTTGTGGCAATCACAGATTGGGGATCAAGCACAACCTGAAAAAGAAGTTGGATTAGTGTCGGTCTTAACGACCTGGGAGCGTGACCGCAGTGCCCAAGGGACAACTACTTGAGGCCGGTCGCGCACGGCGTTTTCGTGGAAGGTTTTTAATGTGTTAGCTTCGTTCTTCAAAGGGCCTTACCGCCGGAGACGGAAATCCGTGAGGTAAGGTGAGGTGTGACATTTTAGGGTCGACCTTTTCTAACCCCATTCCTCCTTGTGGGAAGGCAGCATCGCTGAAGATGCTGGTTTTTCGGGGGAAACACCTTACCGCTGTCACACCCCTCTACAGTCAGCAGTACGACTTCGCCCTCAGACCTTGAGTTGGTGCTTTTAGTCTTACCGTTCTCCAATCGACCTGCCTGGCATGGTAGAACCTACAGGAACATATGTTCCAGACAATATAGCTCGGTAAGGTCATCACGATAGGCAAACCCGACCACCATCTGACTGGTCTCAATCACTGATTGTGCCAGTCTATAAGAAAGGACAAAAGTCCTCTTGTGACAGTCACAGAGGAATCAGTTTGACTAATATAGTGTCTAAAATATTAGCTTCAATAATACTTCGACGCTTAACTAAAGCTCGTGAAGAGCAGACTAGAGAAAACCAGGCCGGTTTTCGACCTGGACCTGGTTGTATAGACCAGATATTCACACTACGTCAGGTTCTAGAACACAGACACACATTCAGACGCCCCACAATGGTAGTATTTCTCGACCTTAAGGCGGCATTCGACTCTGTTGATCGTGAGGTTCTATGGCAGTGTTTGTCACTGAAAGGAGTACCAAAGAAGTACATTAACCTTATAAAGGCTCTCTACTCGAACACAACTGGTAGAGTGAGAGCTTATGGCAAAACTGTCATCAGAATTGATTACCTCAAGTGGTGTTCGTCAGGGCTGTCCACTCTCCCCATTCTTGTTCAACTTTGTGGTCGACGTAATTTTAGAGATAAAATTTTCCTCGTCTAGATTTCCAGGGGTAGAACTTCTACCGGGAGGTTCACTTGTTGACTTACAATATGCAGATGACATAGTTTTATTTGGTGAAGACGCTGACAAAGTGCAGAGTCTTCTGACCACTCTAAGCAACAATGCAAGCATGTTCGGGATGCGATTCTCTCCCTCGAAATGCAAAATGTTGCTTCAGGATTGGGTTACATCGACACCCGAACTAATGATAGGGAGTGAAGTAGTTGAGTGTGTCGACCGCTTCACTTATCTTGGAAGTCTCATCAGCCCTTGTGGTTTGGTGTGTGATGAAATCTCAGCACGGATACAGAAGGCTCGATTAGCTTTTGCCAATTTGCGTCATTTATGGCGTAGACGAGATATCTGTCTATCACCCAAAGGACGTGTTTACTACGCAGCAGTTCGTTCCGTCCTACTTCATGTCAGTGAAACATGGCTGGTAAGAGTAGAGGATATCCGTAGGTTACTAGTATTCGATCATAGGTGTCTTCGAAACATTGCTCGTATATCATGGGACCATCGAGTAAGTAACACAATTGTTAGGAAACGGGTACTAGGTAAGGATGGCAAATCAATTGATGAAGTAGTGAAACTTCATCAGTTGAGATGGCTGGGACACGTGTTACGTATGCCCAACGACCGACTGCCTCGACGTGCTATGTTCAGTGTTATAGGAGTAGGTTGGAAGAAAGCTAGAGGCGGCCAGACCAAAACATGGCACAAGTCCATGAAGTCACTGACAAGTGAACTGAGTCATGTTCGTAGGTGTAGACTACCTGGATGGGGACCGCGAGATGATGGCATCCGATGGTTAGAGACCCTGAATGACATGGCTCAAAACCGTTTGCAATGGCGCAGGTGCATACACTCTTTGTGTTCTCGCAAATTTTGATCTCTTTATTCCTCCTTGTCTCTTTTTCTTCTCTTCCCAAATTTATTTCACTGTATTATAGTCTTTGAATAACATCTCCAAACACTAATTTTCCCGATTACTGCTTATACTCTTATTACCTCTACCACCACGGGATTTGAATCGACAAGTGCATCTCTGTGCTAATGTGGTGTGGCAACTCGAACTGATGTACGTACGTACGAAGTTCTACGTTTTTACTGACTGACTGACTGAAAACAATTTTAAGGGCGAAACAGTCGAGTAGATAACAGTAATCACTCTTGTCATAGGAAAAGTTTAAAAGAAGTGACATACAAAGCTTTATTTGTTGCTATCCTTGTTTAGGACGTACCGTTTTCAGACCTTTCTAGATCTGTCTTCGTTTTTATGAAACATATCTATTATGGTAAGCAAGTTAAACAAGTTCAAACAACCTAATTTCTTTATCAACCTATGAGTCTTTCAAGACAATCAGAAGTTTGGGTACTAATCAGTTGACAAACTGCTCGTATGTTCTAGTTATAATGTGCACATATAGGAGCTTGTTATATTATTTAAGCAAACAAAATTACATGATATTAACTGGGTTAGTGTTTTCGTTGGCTTCGGTTATTCTATTTAGCGATTTATTGCAAACATTATCCCTCATCATTTTACGGGACACATGTCCATTAACATTCTGATCCGACGGTAATTTTGGTACATGTTTGTAATGACCTTTGATTTTATTTTTGTTGTAGCATAGAACAATAATGTGCGAAGTTCGATCTTGGATTACCTTTGTGGAACAAATGTAATATGAGGGATGGAGCTTGAATTATAAAGATCCACCAAAACAAAGTTATTCATTCACTGCAAAACATGCAACCATTTTTATGGTCCATTACTGATTATATAAGGACTGCAGTTACATGTTGTTGACATCCTATACAAAAAATTAATTGTAAAACTTACTGGCGATGAATTTCCATTTACTATTCTCAAACACGAATTCTTCCTATCTACTTGAGCTAAATTTCCATACAGACCAGCTACAATTGCAGCTTTGACAACAGCCCAATTTTCCGAATTGCTGTTAAGGTCTCGAATATCTTCACTTCCTTTCGTTTTTACGAAGCCAGAAGCTCTAATTTGCCCAAGTAACTGAGTTCTAAACAGACAGTTTGTAAAAGTCATGTTAATGAGGTAATTTTTTTCAGTAATGCCTTTCAGTTACTGAATCAAAATTCTACTAAAGATTTCCTAAGGGCGTTTCAAGCTTAAGACGTAAAAATAAACCAATGAAATCCTTACCAGAATTTTCGTTTATTAAAAAGATTATGAAATTCACAGTGATTATAGAAGCCAGTAAGACGTTGTGGAGACTATTGAATTTCATTGAAATCATGAGTCGATCTAAGTTAATTTACCAGTAAAATTCGACAATCTCTACAACGCCTTACTGACAGTGATCATGTGCTAACCAGTGACTAGCTTTGAGAGGAAATTTCTGGAGTTCTAATGAGAAGCCGTCTCAAGTGGAGCTAATCCGTGAAAGTTGCCCACCAGAAACAACTGAAGGTCGCACAATGTCACGGATTGTGTGAGGTTAGACATTAGCGTCGTTAGAAACAGAACTGGTGTTTTAGGAATTCAGAGTTCGCTCGCGAGACTAGAGGTTCTAGGTCTGATTTCCACGTGCAGGTTGTTGATACTCACTTCTTAGGAGTCCCATACTAGCCCGTAACAGCCGTCCAGTGCCTTCAGGTTTTCATTGTTGGTCTAACTTTGGTCATGATTTCAATTAGTTTATAAAAGTATTTGAATATGTTAAAGAAATTAAGAAGCATCTAAACACGAAATCTTCCAGTTTTAAAGAAAAATATTCATGAATACAATCCTAGGTGTTATTTAATTAGAGATTTTATTTCACCATACCAATTTCTGTCTTTTAGAAACTTCATACAGTTTATAATGATTGTTGTTTTTCATTCCCACAATTTACTGTGATGAAAAGTTATTGTTAATTTGTGATATTCAACTGGAAAAAAGACATTTAAATTGAGCTGATGATTGATAATATAATATAACTTGTTTGTAAGATTTGAGTGATAGTTCTATTCATCAGTTTGATATTCCAAATTTGACTCAGACTTATAATGGACTATGAAATTTGTGTACTTTTTGTGTGTCTATCATGAAACTAAACAACAAGGCATGGTAATGTTATTAACACTTGACTGATTGCGTTCTCATTTCATTATCACTACCATTCGTAGTCAGAATAAAAAAGCACTATGACCGTCATAATTTTTAGTCAGTAAATCATGTGCAAAATTCATTCGCGTAAATTCCTTATACTAAAATATAAGAGATAAACCCACCGAATAGCGATAATAATTTCAAAAGTTGCTGTAGATATAAAATGTTTTTGACAAAACGCCTTCTCCCATCCTTCTGAGCGAGATTTTTGCCAAAACTGAACGGACAAATTTTTTTTAGTACTATGTTTAAAAATGATAACACATATACCTGGAAAGCTCTTAATAATACCATATGGTCACTATAACTGTTTGATGATAAACCTCTTCGAACATTCATCAAATCTCGTCGTTCAGCCGCATTTCTAGGTAGTTTACTTCAAAAACCAATTGAATAAAAATATGAAGAATTAATTGTCCGTGGTAATTTAGATGGAAGAAAAAATTAGTACCAACTTTATAACCAAATTAGAAAACAAATGATATGTCAGCAAGTTGTCAGAAATCAACTGCATAGTTTACAGTAAATAATTTACAGAAGTAGGATCAAATGAAATGTAGGAGATACCTAATCATCATGATTATCAGTGAATGTGAAGATGATAAACGTAATTGTTGAAATGACAGCGTGTAATATCAATGTAATAAACCATTTGAATAAGAAACATCTTTTGTGATAATAATATAACGAAATCATAAAAAATGGAAATACTTCTGTAAGCGTGAAAGTAAAATATGATGAAACTTAGGGCATCCAAACAGCTTTTGTATGCAAAACTGAGGTTCCCAGTTGCAGATGATTAAATCATCTCCAATATCAAGTAGGTTTAGACGTGGACTTCTCTAAATCTTTGCCTGCATCATGTAAATGATATAAAATGCTGAGCTTACACTAAATGTGTTTTAGATGAACGGGTTCCAAAATACTTGATATTTGTATTTGTACACCTGAGTATTCCAATATGCTAAAATTCACAAGTAATCAGATGTTTTCTTATGATTTGGTGTACAAATGGTATCAAAACTTCCTAATAAATGTCGAAAATTGTAATGAATATATATATATATATATATATATATATATATATATATATATATATATATATATATATATATATATATAGCGAGAGAGAGAAATTTAACTAAAACTAACAAGCAATTCACTTGGTCTTGTTTTTACTTGAATCTTCCCATTGATGTTTAGGACTGGTATTGATCAGTCTCTTATTGGCATATGTGCATACTGTGCGTATTGCCTCGATATTGCCTTAATTTACAACCATTCCACTGCTAGCCACTAGCCATCTTTACTTATAAAACTAACAAGTGATAAAACATGATCAGTAATTCTAAAATTTTAACTTACATGGCTCCGTGTACGACAGTATGCATGCAATTGTAAGAATTGGATCAAGGCATTTTAATACAACGCTGAATAGAACCATTTTAGCATAACGAGGTGGTATAGACATGTCACAAATATGATAACCCAATTCAGTTAATTCTTCAAAAGTGTCCAATATATCCATTTCCTAATGTTAAGTGACAAAGCGAATATACGTGATTTACATATTACTTACAAAAAATGTTTTAGGATTCTAACATTAAAACTAATGTGTGATTTTATTCAGATTTCAATTTAGAAATTTTTATATGCATAGTTGTAAATGATATCGTGGTATGGTAATATCAGCAATAACTCAAAGCGACATCTTTGATTTGGCTAGTAGATGACAAAAAATTCAAGTCGTTTGAAAAGTAAACATTTTTTCCTTATTGGGTACCAACATTCACTACACCTAGGTCTAGAACATTTGGTTTTCGCCTAATGAGATTTCAAATATTCAAGGACAAAAACGCACCTCAAATAATTAATAATCAGGAATATATATGTAGGGCAATCTAACCTAAACTAATAAAACCTAACGTCCATCTCTTCAACTATTTAAAAGTAATCTAAATGTAAATCCAAGTAACTTATTTTTGACGTTTGTCGACTCTTTTTTTACTTTAAATCGCTTACTTTTTTCATTGGTCATTTGATAAATCTTGAGGGGTGGTTTCGAAAGTCCTTAATCTTGAGCCAATTTAAAAAGCTCTGTGGGAACAGGAAAAGACCGAGGAGGATTCTCATATATATACATATATGTTTTATGTGGCCAATTTATTTAACGTTTATAACGAAAACTATCCTTTCCTAAAAACATTTTCTTTCTTTGTGCATTGTTGGAAACTTCATAATACATAATCAACTTTTCGAAATCTTTAAAATTATTTTCAGATAAAGAGAAAAATAAATTTTCTGTATCAAGAGATCTTAAAGAAATGTGGTTACTTTTAGAGTTTCAATGGCCTTTTCAGAAGATTTAAGTGAAGGTGGTTTCGGCAATGCACTCAGTACTGTTTGTAAGGAAATGTTTGATGATGCAAGTAGTCGGGCTTGAATACACATCTCCTAAAAATGAAAACAAACAAGCATTACAAAGTAGCAATTTAGTGTTTACGAAAAATCATAATATAATTAAAGTCTTCAATGTAAGCTCTTAGTAAGGAAAGAGAAAATTTAATCAAAAACCTATAGTCAGCTGTAGTGATTAGTTGTTTTACCCGTGAAAATCATTGTCTCTCCACTATTATTTTATTGTTCGAAAGTATAAATTAAAATAGGTAAATTAGCCATTTTCATACACATAAGTTTTTAACATAGAACTGATTCAGATAATAAATAATAATCACCTTTTAATTATTTATTAATTAAGTTCTAAGTTTTGCTGTTACAGAATTTGTTTTTAATAAATTTTATCACTTCAAAAGATTTAGTACAAAAGACAGTATTTCACAAAGCAGCATAACGATAATTCTTTTCTTTTATTTGTAATTGATAAAATCAGCCCATAAGTGTAGTTACTTCTTATCATTTCATTTTTGATTATTTTTCACTTTAGCTGAAAATAATCTTAAAGATTTTGAAAAGTTGATTGCGTATAATGAAGTTACTTTTTGATGAAGTTTCTTTCTCTGAGCTGGATGGTTTGATCGTGGAGCTTTCATCGTTTTTCTGAACGACATCATCAGCACAAACTTCAGGAAGAAGTGAAGTGTTCAAATTTCTCCAAATATGGTTCACAGCTTGTCCTGTAGACCACGATGTTGATTGGTTCTTGTTGACCTTAGACCTGTCATTGTTTACTTCTTTGGTTTGGTTATATCTCCCATTGGTTTGATTTTTGTTTCTAGGTTTGTGCAGAATTTCCCTGGTTGGTTGATAAATTGGATCGATTTCAATGTGCTTGTTGATTGCTGATTGACCTGAGTGCCGAGCTTCTAAAAATTCTCTGATGATTTAGGGATTCCCTCTGTCCAAGATTTCCACATTTTTCCAGTCAAATGAGTGTCCTTAGTTGTCCACGTGCATTGATATAAGTGATTGAAACTATCCATTTGGGTTTTCACTCAGTCAATAAAATAACTGAACTTCAAAGAAAAATTAAATGCATGTTTATAGTTGAGCATTGAGCAGTTATTTCTGTTATAGCAATCGTTTACTTATAAACTGACTTTTGTTGCAAAGAAAATATTTTCACTTATTAATTTTCCTTAAAAAGTTTCGTTAGATCATTACTATTCCATTGTTTGCATACACCCTATTTATGAAACAAAGAAGAAAATTCAATTATTTTTGTAAAAAAAAAACTGTCAATCGAACCTTTGCTTCACAAGACGTTTACTCAGTTCTAAACCAAACAATTTGGCAACAATATTACAATTAATTACGATGAATTATCTATTAACATCTTTTTAGTGTTCTTTCAACTTCTTGATGTCATTTTTCAACTAATTCAAAATGATTAAAATCCCTTAACTAAGAAGACAACCGGTAGAGCCTATGAAAGCATGCAGATAAAATTTTACGTTGTAAATAGCACATTTAGAGACTTTAGTTAAAAATGTAATTGAAATTTAGAAGCATACTTTTAAGGGAACAAAGAATGAAATAACTAATAATTTTACACTGATTTAAAGTAACCACTGATGTTGTGAATAATAATAATAATAATGAGAGCTTTATGGTTAGGTCATTCAGTTTATTTAATACATGATTTCTAAATGCATTCAGTTGAGCTCAAAGCTTTCAGCATTGAATGAGATTGACTATTTCCAAAGTCTTATATATTCATTCCAGGGAAAATTCGAATTTATTTAGAATTGAGTGATAAATGTAGGTTGTAAATAATGACATTTGCTAAAATGCTGAATGTACAATTTAAAATGATTATTAAATGATATTCTGTCTGTCATTACGTAGATAAATAGCTACCAAAATATCTGTCGGGATTATTCAGATAATTATGGGTAAATTGCAGTTAAATTTTATTGAATCATCTTGATATCTATTTACCATGACAAAACACACGATGACCCGTTGATATGAGCATTACAGTAGCCTTAACGGAAGATCAACTAAATCGTTTGTTGGCAGTAACTTTTTATCGACTGTTAGACACTGCTTTACCTATCTGTGCCTCAGAAAATAGACTTACAGATGTCTTTATGGTGATATAGGATGCATAAGATTAGCTAAGACGTAGAAGTGAACCACCATCGGAAGAAGAAATATTTTCAATGAGTATTCTATGAGATTCAAATGGACTAAACTTTGAAATTAACTTACTTCAACAACATGTCCACTTAGACTTCCATGTCTTTGTTCAGAAAGAAAACTGTAGCGTAAACTACTGTACAAACGAAAACACACTCCGTTTATGTTTTTTCCAACTCTGTTTGTAGGATAAAAGGCATTTATTAAAGAGTTAAGACAGTCTGTGCATCGTGGCTTAATTACAATTGATTTATCACAGTTTATTATACTGAGAAAATTCGGAATATGTGCAATAGCTTATATTTCAGAAATTTCATAAAGGTTTCAGTGATCAGTACTGTCAATCTATAAACAGAATAAAAATACAGCATGTTTAAAGAACAAAATATTTCTCACCTAACGATAGTTCCTATCATAACGCGACTTATATTACTTTATTTCTTTACGTTTGCTTATGTTATTATCTGCTTATAAAGATTGTTTATTGATCGTCCTAATACATGGTTAACCACTTGTTTTAAAATGATATAACTACTACTTCAAGTAGATTATATCTTTACATAAGTTCAATAAAAGTCTAATATAAGTACTAGTGACTGAAGATAAAAGTAGTCAATAGAGATAAGTGTCAGTTTAATCATACAACATGATATTCCAGAAAATTTCATTTAGATACAAACCCAAAAATGAAAATAGTACTTAATTTAGATGTATAGTTATCTCTGAATACACTCAGTCAATCATTTTATGATTTGAATAGTACAAAGGCATCAGTTTTGCATTTTAAGACGTGTATAAATAGATGAAATTTCTAAGTATTTCGACTTAGCAAATATTATGAGTTGGAAATACATTATTTGAGCATCTTTCACTGTTTCCCACTAAAACTTTAGAATTTCACTTTTGCTTAAAATATGAAGTATATAAGTAAGTTGTTGAACCATTCCGTCTAACACTTTAATGTACCTAGCATATAATCAAAGTAGTTTTGGGGGATACCCTTTGCCCCCAATACAATAACGCTTTCCTTCGGTAAATATTTTTACGGCTAAAACTTTGGTTATTGACTAAACTGAGTGTTAGGTTCCTTAAAACTCGCTGACATTCTTTGTTTAGAATCTACAACACCTCTCAAATAAATTTACATACATCATCGTCCATATGCGTTACTATGAACGAAAAGGGTAGTTAATATATTTATTGTGGTGTTCCTCGAATTCGTGGCACATACTTTGTATCAAACATAAATGAAACATTTTCTAACACTTTTGACTGGGATTATCAATTATAATACAGACATTAACTTGTGTATAAAGCGTTTAGGTTTATGTTGAAAGTACCTCGACATTCTTTGAATTGCGTTTGACTTTAAAATCCATTGGTTTCTTAGAGATGTGGTTTGAGTCCAATCAAGGAACTCCTCCTTTTGAATGAAAACAAAAATGATGTTTATATTTTAAAGTATATTTTGGATAAAAGGGTTTAACGTATACGTAGAGTACTGGCAACTGTTAACTGAAACGTAAATATCAAAATGTTTTATTAGCGTATGGTCAGTTTTTCCGTAATAATAATCTGAAAACAGTAGTAATAATAAATTTCATTTATTCTCGTTGACTAAGAAAGATGGAAACTGTGTCACTAACCTAGCAATCTCATCAAAGTAATTAAAGAGACAGTACGTCGGTCAATGGTTTTGATTTATGGAAGACGCAATACAAACTTCATAGAAGTAAGAAACTATCTTTTCAAAATTTAACTCCAAAACGTATTTATTTATAAATACTAAATAAGAGAGAATATTGTAGAGATTACTCTTACTTAAAAAAGTAATTATGGAGAGAAGAAAAATAGCATATTTTTCAGTTTTATCTGAAATATAAAAATGCTAAATGAACAACAACTTTCATTTATATATAAATGTTCATACTGCCGCTAAAATGTTAGGATAAAATAACATAAATTGAAAGTAAGAGAGATGAAAATCAGTGATAAATCCTAGACTATTTTCTAAATGAAAATCTATTAGGAAGGGAGTACATCTGTTAGATGAAAGGATATAACTATGCTTTTTGATATAACAGTGAGAAGACGAAGTCGATCTGAAAAATGTGATGTATTTGCGCCATACATTTCAAGCAATCTGATTATACATACATTTCTCAAGCCATTTTGTATGAAAATTAATAAAAGTAAGTTCAAACACATCACATTTTTTCAGATCAACTCCGTCTTCTCATTGTTCTATCAAAATTTTATAAAATGGACTTTTTACTTTAAACTCAATCTTTGCTACAGTGGTCTGAAATTTAATCATGAATCTCAAAAAACTTTAAGTAGCAAACAAGCTTAATCGAAGATCGAAATCCCACGAATAATAAATATCATGCCCAATGAATAAATTAGTTACTGTTTTAACTCGATACTTTAGTAAATAACGCGTCACTATGTTGAGAAGATAAATTAAAGCATCAACACTGGGATGTGGACACACCCAGCTCAAGAGTCCCGAATAGAACAAAATTTGTATCTTGAATTCCACTGCTAGCCAAGATCCAAAAACAATATAAGGTTTGTAACTAAAGTCAATATGAGGGCATCCGCCCAGGGTACGCATGGACCTTTAGAGAATTATGAAATCTAGCCTTTAATGTTATCTACGGAAAAAGAACAAACAAATTAAATCAATGTTATACTTAATTTTTCGTAAAATTGATTACATGAATAAAACTAGCAAGTAACAATATGTAACAATTTACTTTTTGTAGCAGATATCTTAGAAAACGGTGTTTTTTTATGAAGCTTAAGAACATCACTTTATGGTACTTAAACTCGTTTTTCCTCTTTGTCTGACAGAAATTATTTGTTAGAAGAATCATGTGAAATTCCTCTTTATGACAATATAATAAAGCCAAAACAACTTCATGTCAATATATTAATTATCATATAACATACCACACAGTTCAATCCACAGTCAATAATATAAACGACATCATCAAACGTCATGGATGTCTCTGCGATACTTGACGAAAGTATCTAGAAAAGAAATATATAGTTTGTTTGGAAGATATTATTGCCATAAAATATCTAATAATAAAATTATACTTTTTAAATCTACTTGCTGAAGTTAATGTTTTATTAGGAAAAACGTTTTCTTGATAGTATAGGGGTTTGTCGAGACTGATTAGTCTATAATGTGCCTTCTGAATTGACTTCAACTGGACAACTACTTAAAACTGCACGATATTTTACAGATGGATCATGATAGTATAGCGTTACTCAATAGTGTGAACCCACGACATTACTAAGTATCAAACTTAGGAATTTCATGTTGCATCATAAACCTTTGATCTTTAGGGTGCGTTAATTGTAAGATAATGTATTAATAAAAACAGTGCTAAAGAGTATTAGATAATCAGCGAATGTAAACATTCAACATTAGTTCATCAAATCTTCAGTTACAGTAATGTCAACCCGCCACCAAACAATGTTTATTTATCTACAGACTATTTTCAGAACATCAGATTTATCATCAGAACCATGCTAATATACTCTTATAAAAAATGGCCTAGGGATTTTACACTGATAAATTAAAATTGTCGACAGTCGTAGCGACAATATATAAAAACGGAGATGCATGCACAAATAATTTTCTGCTCAATAAACTCTTACCAGGTTCTACATTCTTACATTCATAGAATAATTATTAATTCAAATGTGCAACAGTAGAAACCATTAAGAATTCATTAAAAGAATATTCTTCATTTATATATCTGTGCTTCAGTACGATAGTAGATTTTAGATAACAAATTAAATTTAGTAAAAGCCATATGGAGAAAAGTAAAACTCAGTTACTTGAAATTTGAGTACAATAAATACTCGATAATTTAATCTTTTGTTTTTATCTACTCAAAGACTGATTAATAACTATGCTATAGAATATATAAGTTTGATTGATGAATAAAACAACACATAATATCAGATTTTTTAAAACTTGATATTTAGATTGACGACAAATAAACCACTAACTGTAATAATGAATGCCATTTTATCAATGCAATGATACATCTAAGTGATGGAAACCTTAATGCTGGTAACACAAGTTTTGGGTCTTTATGGAGAACTTTATCTATTTTGGTAAACTTGTAGCTTACAATTTTTCGCAAATTATCTTTATGATATTTTTGAAAGAATGGTGAAAACATAACAGACAATACTGTTACATATATTTCACTTTAATACAATTGACTTACTAATTTACGGTGCGAACGTGAAGACTGAGCATATATAATTTTCAAATCAGCAACAAGCATTCGAGGGTGAATAATAAATATTAAGGGATTTCTGGAGAAATGGGAAATGAATATAATTACTGAAGGATGTGCGCATTGGAAAGAACGTAAAAAGGAGCATATTCTCGAAAATATAAACACACATATATCAGATTTTAAATTAGTTGTATTTGTGATTCAAATTATTATTCACACGTTATTAAGATAATGAATACTATAATTTTTAAGTTACGATTCGGTTGTAATCGACATATTCAGTGTTGTGATAAGGATTTTAATATTTTTATAGTAAACATAATAACAAATAGTTGAGTTTTTCATAGTTATGAGCCTTACTAAAACTTAGGCACACTTCACCACATGCCATAGCTTTAGATATTTGATTCACTGACTATCATATTCAATCAAATAAGTAGCAAACAGTGAATTACTTTCAGAATAAATTCAATGTCCAAAAAAACAAGAAATAACTACTTAACATTACATACGAAGTGAAAATAAAATTCAATAAATGTGGTAAATAAAGAAATGATAAACAAAACAATATTTAAAGGTAGAAAGTTCCCATATTCCAAAGGATTTTCCTTCATTAAAAGAATTTTTAAAGAATAAACATCTATTGAGAGATACTGAATACTTATACAAATTATCCAATGTTGACTACATAAGCCATTGTAAATCTGCTTAAATGTACCCTTCGTTCAAAACAAGAGACATCAAACCGTGCATTAAATAACTTTTGAAATTGTACATACTATGATTTCCAGAAATCAGCCACTTATTCTAACACAGTCTATATGACATGTGATGGGGTTTACGTAAAAACAAAAAGGCGCATTTTTCACATACTCTGACGATTTCCATGGAGAAGTGTCAGGATCCAGTAATCGTCCTCGTAGTGTTATAATCTCTTCATATGATGGTAGAAATATTAATATTACACCTGAAGAAGAAAATTATAGGCTTATTTAGACGAACAATATGAGAAAGATGATTATCCACATTTTTTAAAGTGTATTTGTTCTCTAATATATTTTGGCGGTCGCTGTACATGGAATGCTTTTCTATTAAATAATATCAGGTGAGTAAGAAAATCTTCTATAAACACCATGATTATTTGAATAAATTTTAGGACTTAAATGTTATGGTGGAGTAAATATCATCTTTAGCAATAATAACAGTAAAGGAAACTTTTTAAAGAAAAGACAGATTTCAGTTATATGTATTTGAAACAACATGGAAAGGTGTGAAAATAAACCATAGTATTGAAAGAACGCAACACTATTAAAAGGATCTACTTGAGCTACAAGTGCTTCCCGCTATTTCATAATGATAATGAAGAAAAATAGTATTGGAAATAATATTGTGGAAAAATTACCGAGTACCTCAGGATAAGCGCTCAATGTTATTATAGAAATCTTTAAACGAGATGTTTTTTATTACAAATATTGATAAACATATGTGCATTAAGAGACATAGTTTCTTTAAGCATTTCTTGATTGGCAGTAGCACAACATTATTTCTAGGTTTAAAGCATCCTCATAAACTGATGAATAAACGAAAGCGTTAATCTTGCACAAATGTGAGTCATTCAGGGCTCATAAAAGTTCTAAGGATAATTAAATGAGATTTAACTAACGCTCGTATGATTTTAAATAATAATAATATGTTTATTGTGTAGAACTAAACCAGACTGTGGATGACCAAGAAGAGTGACTATTGAAATATAACTATCAGAACAAGTTTTAAATTTAGAGATGTTTAATCTAACTGATTTAAAAATAATACTTCTCACCTCTTGGTAACGAACTGTCGATTTTCACAATTAATGCCGTTAGAAGATCATAATCCACTACCGTTTCTGGCTCCATATTGTTTCTAGCTGATTGATAGGATGAAAGTAATTTGTAACGGAAATTCAGGGAATTCGTTAATACTTTTGTTTCTCCAAAACTATCTAAATCAGTTGCGAATGGTTGGTGATCGTTGAAAGTACAATCATCAAATTGTGATCTGCCTATCGGACTTTGAAACCAAGATCCAAATCTTAGAAGTATAGCCTCCCAGTTTTCAGGCTCGTATCGAAGGCTTGAATTAATCCTAAAAAATATGGAATGTGAGTGGATAATGGCTTAGATCTTATTAGGTTTCATAATGGAGGAAGGCCCAAATATGAACATTCTGTAATAATCTATAGTTTATGAACCCTCAAGAATAATAGAAGCGACCATTTGTGTAGTTATTTCACATACACTATGAGTGTTCAAAAATCATTATTTTAGCACAAAACTAGTGATACACTTAAAAAATAATCACAGCCTATTGAGAAAAACAATTACAAATCTTACATATATGTTTTCAATAAGTTTGCAACTTCGTTGTTATCGAATATACAAGCTAAATCATAAGCTGTAACTCCTACGGTAGTGTAATTTTCATCTTTGATTGAGATTTTTCGATTCTTTGGACCAAAAAGTTTGAAATCTTCACATTGCTTACGAGCTAGTCCAATTAAAGGTTCGTAAGGCATAGCCACACGCAGAAATGGATCAGCTCCATGATTCAATAGACATTTAACAGCCTCTAGGAGACCACCAGCAGAACACACCATCATTGGAGTCAATCCTTTTGAAAAATAGAAAAAGAAAGTTTGTTCATCCATTCACTTGCTGTCATGAGTATATTTTAACGGACTTTCATTATCGTAGTAGAAATATTAAAATAAAAATGAAATGAAAACGGTATCTTTACATCTGGATGATTTAAATCATATTTTGAAAAGAAGCATTATTTGAAACAATCTTATAAGATTGGTATCATGAATGGAACAGTGTTAGACCACCATTGGAAACATGAAAGCATTGGATGGTCTTTACGTCTCAATATGAGAATCCTCAACAGCACGCATCCAAGATCCCGCAAGCACGACTCGAACCCAGGACCGTTGGTCTCGCGTACGAACGCTTAACTTCAAGACTACTGACTCGGCATCCAACGGTGTTGATTTCTAACTTCAACCAATCCATGATATTTCGTGGCCGTTCACAATTGTTTTCAGTCAGTAACTGCTTCACAACAGACACGGTTGAACTCCACTGGTTACGGCTCCTCACTAAAACTCCAGGAAATCCATCTCGGCGCCAGTCACATATTTTCCTAGCTCTATTTGCAATACATTTAACAAGATTTCTTTTATAACGAATGAGTATAAGGCTCAATAAATGTGTGTACTGGCTTGCTGAAGAACCTTCCATATACTCACTTCTACTGACAGAACTATTTTCATATCTATTTAACAAAACGTAAAGGAAATGTACTCTATTATCAAGTTCCTCTTCACACGTAAATTTGAGTGCTGAATGTTTATTGTCAGATAGTTTCAATGGTTCCTCTTTTCCAATGTCCTGATTGATGACAATGAAAGTATCACCAAAGTAACAACAATAAAAGTCAAGCTTATTCATAACCTCTTTGATAATTATTATGTGCTCACTAGTGACTGGCTTCAAGAGGTATTTCCTGGAGTTTTAGTGAGGAGCCGTAACCAGTGGAGTTCAACCGTGTCTGTTGTGAAGCAGTTACTGACTGAAAACAATTGTGAACGGCCACGAGATATCATGGATTGGTTGAAGTTAGAAATCAACACCGTTGGATGCCGAGTCAGTAGTCTTGAAGTTAAGCGTTCGTACGCGAGACCAACGGTCCTGGGTTCGAGTCGTGCTTGCGGGATCTTGGATGCGTGCTGTTGAGGATTCTCATATTGAGACGTAAAGACCATCCAATGCTTTCATGTTTCCAATAGTGGTCTAACATTGATTCATTCATGATGTCAATCTAAACTCAACAATCTTCACAACTATATACTGAGAACTCTGTAAGATTTTAGAATTTTTATAACCTACAGTTTTTTGGACACAGCCAGTTGAAATTCCTCATTACAGAAATGCTTTAAAATCTTGTTTTAATCAATACATGACTGCACCGCACTCAACGTGAACTGTCTGAAGAATGATCTGTTGAGTACAAATGACTGTTAAGTAATAACACAATGTGGAACAACCACCCTAAATGAAAACATTAATTTGATTCTTCCTAAATTTTAAAACAAATATTTTAAATAAGCTCCATTATGTCAACAGGTTCCAAAAATGATTGAATGTTGATACAAATTAGAAAGTATAAAAAGTAATAGAAAATTAGAAATAAAAATAAGCTTTCATGTAAATATAGGATGAAAAAATACATACCAGAATTCGAGTGTTCGTAATCAACAGAAATCCAGCCAGCTAGAATACACTGAAGTAAATTTGTCAGACATGAATTTTTCACCTCAGTGAATTCCATTTCATTTATTTTCTACAAATTCAAATGTTCATGCAAAAGGCAACAAAACTAAAGTTTACAAAGTGTAAAGTAAATAGTAATGTCAAACGTAAGATGTAGTTATGATAAGGCGTGCAGAGGTTATTTTACAATGGAAACATAAAATATCAAATGACAATAGACTTTTATGATTCTATATTTTCTACTGTTTTTATCACCTTACGCTATTTCATAGGGGAAATTTATGCTTTATCAAACTAATACATCCTAGTATAAGGACAGTTAGAGGTTGAGAAGTCTGAAACACTATGAAGAAACCTTGGATAAATCATTAAGATACGTCATATCCTAGTATTATTTGTTGACTTGAAACATTTGTCATCAGTATCAGATATCATTTAAATTATTTATCACTCACATATGAAAATGATGATAGATCATTTTATCATTAGTTACAATAATGTTTAAGAATTCCGATTATTCAGCATAGCACTTTAGACACTACTTTCAGCCAGTCTAAAAATGTCCTTGCATTCTTAAGTAAACAAAAACCATTCGCTGAAACATGGAAATAGTTTATTTCGTTCCAATGATCTGTTATCGATGATTTTATTTTCAGGGGTGTAGTGATCACTTCCAAATGCCCTGGTACGGTCGAAGGTGGGGAGAAACAGCTCTCCCTCTTGAAACACTCTCACATGGCCACGTGCATGCAAAATATTGAAAATTTGTCACTTTAGGAAATTAACCCGAAACAAGTAACTCGTCTAACCTTCATATGTTGTTTATTTAATTCGTTTCTATTGAGGTCAAGAACTGTATGAAGCCAAATACTCCATAGTAAGTTATTTGCGTGTTTGTTTGCAAAATCTGTTGAATAAACCTCTGCACAGTCGTCTGTTTGATTCAATATTTGATCATATTTCAAATATGATACAGCATGAACTTCAGGAAGTACTCGAGGTTTCTGGAATATATATGAACAAAAATGCATTTGACAAAACTCAACGCTATCCATAATCTCAATCAATTCATTATTACTTGAGTTCACAATAAGTACTACCCATCTTCATTATCATCATCTTAATTTTGTCGTGAGATAAATATGTTGCATGACTTACGTTTGTATTATGCGTGACGTTAATAACACAGTATTATAATATATCAGTCCTTGATATTCCTTTTTTACTACTAACAATTTTTTTATTCAGTACCATATATTTAGGGCATTAGAGCATTTTCAGAATGAAATGTTTCCACAAGTTACTTTCATTCTTCATTAAAGAGAATGATTGACTGCTAAACATTTTTAGCTCAAAAGATTCTTGATTAATTCTGCTTTTTTAAGGAGATTAAAATGAGAATTTCTTTCACGCATTAGTCTCATAAATTCCTCAGACATGTTTTATCAAGTCAGTCATTCGTCGTCAGATTCCGCTGCACCTACTGAAATATACTAGAAAATAAAACTTAACGGTCTATTCACATAGCAACTGAATATCGTTACGAACTAAGTAGCTGTTATAACGGTTGGTTTTCCACGTTCACACATATGGAAAGTTAATTTACCTTAGACGAATATCTACACTAGATTCCCTCCTAGTGTCTATTCTACAGTACTTCAACACAACTCAGATCAAGAACACTTGATTAATCTGACTAGAACATAAATATATTCCCACACCAAATACCCGACACAATCCAACAACAATGAACAATCAATAATAATTACTATGAGGATAGGGGAATATAAACTCATCTGACACCTGTCAGACTATCTACATGTCCGACTAAGCGGACAACCAATCATTATCATTCTCGCCCACATATCAGTAACATTCATAGACCTTAATTTATTTCGAATAATCTTTCCACAGGTATACTATTAAGTAAAATTTCTAATCAAAATGTAGAATCTTATTACTCGAATACCCTGGACTAGGGCTGCCATAAACAAATAGCAGCTTCAAAGTTCAAATTCTGTTCAATAAACGTATGGGATTTTCGCAAAATCAAGATCTTTGTATCAAGCAATAAGTCAGTTACAAATAACTCTAAAACGATATCTAATCTCTTCATCAATAAGTTTATAACTAATGACAAGCATTGACCTTTCATGATTTTAATGAAACTCAACAATCTCTACGACCCTATACTGATAATAACAAACGGTTATCCAACGATGGATGGGAACCTAACTCGTAAATAGCAAATATAAGCAACCTGTTCATCTTATTAATTAAAGCCTTGAGCGACATTAAAGATCCAAAAAGTCATGAAAATACTAGAGCGAATAAATTTCATAAAAACTGACACTTTCTCAATAAATTCATTAATCCTAACCTCTAAAAACCATAAATATAATACTTTTTAAATTGGGATATGAAACCAAAATACACAATTGTAGACCTATCTATCTCGAGATTCATAATTTCTTTTATTTTCGCTTATAAGAGAGCTAGCAAATATCCCAAACTTTTCTATTATCTTTTGACTATTCTTTCATAATGTACTATTTTTAAAAAATGAGGCCGATTAAAATCCGCTGAACATTTATTATTATATCATATTTTATGGTACATACAAAAATTGGTTCTTATTTTGGCTGGTAAACGTCTAATAATGACTTTCGTTTGAGATTTTACGAACAAAACAAAAACTGTTATATTTTGTATAACACAACCAGCTTGTAGTGAACTGAATACTCATTGGTCTACGGTTGGTTTCTGCAGACCGAAACAATTGGAATACTACCAATCGTTCTAGTAACTAGTTTTGGATGAAAGTAGATTTGAGTTATAAAAGCGGCAAAGAAAGTAGTAACTATTTATTATTTATGTAGTCACGAGGTCAAAATCTACGTAATATAAGTGAATATTCGGCGATATTAGTAATTTGACCTTTGAGTCTAGAGGATGTATAGTCAAAAGAAAATTACGCTTGACTTCAAGTTGTCACTCCTACTATAAAACCACAATAAATTTGTGATAAACATAATACCTTTGGTACGGCATTAGACACGGATGTATTGAATGTTTTGTCTTCAACCATACTGACTGTATTTGCATCGTCAGTTGTAATAATGTGATACGCACATGGAATATATTTATCAAATTCCTTAGTTGTAAGCCAAAAATACATATAACGACAGCGTACAACATCTAAATGGAAAATTTATTTTTCGAAAAGAAGAATAAATAAACAGAGCAATAAACGTCAAGGTAAAGCTTATTTTATATATCACAATACAAACTATGCATATTAAAAAGGCGTCTGACTATTTTATATAACTTTAGCTAATTTCCTGTTTCTAATATATCACTGAGCTACTATATTCACGTTAAACCACTCCTAGACATTAGTATTTTAATGATTGATGAGAACAGACTACTTAAATTATAATTACACCTTTTCCATAGAATATTACGCGAATGGGAATCAGATGAGCTGAAGATTTCTCTAAACAATAAACTGAGTGCGAATCATATCAGTGCATAATATGACATCATTGTGTTATGTTTCGAATGAAAAATCTATTTCAGAATTATAATCACAAAACATTCTTAGATAACTCACTCCATCATGTTTACGATACTTTTGAATAGTAGTAATTATTAATTTTAAATAAAACATCATATCACATTTCATTTATTAATTCTAACCTAAACAGATATAACCAACATAAATGCAGCATACACTATTTTCCAAAAAGAAAACATTAAAAATAAAGATCCGAATTACAGAATCCTAGATAAAATGTACATATACAAGCATCATTTCATTCTTGAATTATCACTGACAGATACCATATAGATTTCTTCATTTGAATCTTTTTAATTACATAGTTACTAATCAAACAATATTTATTTCTAGATCTGCCTGATTACAAATAGAATATTCACCATTAACAAGTAGATGATAAAAATTCAATTAAACATAGGAATTCGTTTCATTAGTATGATCATTTTAAAAAATAAATATTTGGTTTAGATTAAGTCAGTTTGTTTTATGGCAACTACGGTTGATTATTTATGACACTGATTATCAATTGTGACGAGACGAGATCTGGTTGAAATCTTATTACACAACTAGTTGCACCTTAACTTTTATCTTATTGAACTTTGTAACATTTTTTTAATAAGAATGTACCTATCTTACTCGAGGATATGTAAACTGGACTACTTATGAATAATTGGGAATTTCTGTCCATCCATTCTTCCGAGTTAGTATATATAATTTAATCATTTTATTATGGATATTTAAGTAAAGATGTCAGTGTCTTAAACCACAAATACCTTGCATCTCAAATTTTTTATTCATCTTATAATCCTTTATACAGACAACCTAAGCAATAAACCTTGATAATTTTGTTTATTAAAATTCAAAAGTCTTGATCATGTTGCATTACACTGTCTTTTAAGAATATCATTAAGCTCACGGCAGTTTTTGTATTTTTTTATTCAATCTTTTCACCCCATTTAAAAAAACATTTTCATCTCATTTTTCAATTTTTTAAATTTCGTTTCGTCCAAATAAATGGCTAGTTCTAAATTTGTTATAATCGGTTGTTTCTTAAAATTGATATAAAATGTAGGTGTTTGTCGACTGAGCATCATATTCTTGAATACATTATATCTGGCTGTGATCTGAAATTATGCAACTATTCTCCCGCCTGATGTTCACTCGAAATGTGGAAAGGTAAATAAAATTCTTTATGCATGACAGTCTTTTGTAGTTTCCAAAGTTATCTTTCATTTATTGAAGCATTGAACGGGACTTTCTACCGATATGTGTGAGATCATTTGTTATTTAAGAAGCAAAAGTAGTAAAATGCTTTTAGACCCTCTGCGAATCTTTTTGAACAAAGCAAGACAAATTTTTCTATTTAAACGGATTGTCTTGTCGTCACGTTTTCGCCTACTGTACATACACCAAAGCTATCTCACCAGCATTGCGATTGACAATTACTTCCATGTCCAAGTATGCTAACTAATCATAAAAAAGCATTATATTCATTAGTAAGACGTATATCTGAAGATCAATGTAGTGTTTTCTATAACTCCGCGCATCAAGTGGTTTACGGATATGGAATTTTTTCCATAAACTCAGAAGAATTCAATGACCGAGACAGCGACAATGCAATGTTTCATTTGTTTAGTGCTTATTCCATAGATTCCACTGTCCCATGTGCAGCGCCATTGTGCTGGTGATTTATAAAGACATATAACTCCCTAAAGAAATCAATGTTCACATCCTATCCAGACAGAACTTAAAAGACCGAATCACCATTCAACTAACTACATGTACTAAACAATTTAGATAGTCTTTTGCGTACAATATATTCAACCAATACCGCATGACTAATCAGATAACTGATGATAAATTATGAGTTGGAAATAGTTGTAAAAATTTAATGGCCATTTAATACTACTTACTGTGACGTATTAAGACATGAGATGCAGTAGATTATTTTTAAAAGTGCACTCTGAAGCATTTCTACCAAATCGTTAACAAAAATACAAAAGTTACACTCATTTGAAACATGCTTTCTTTTCAGAATTACCTTGGTCCATACACGCTAATGCTTCATTCATTCGTGACGTTGAATAATCAGTCCATTCTAAAATATCTTCTAGATGATAAACTCTTACTTGTTTTGCACGGTACGGTACTTTAAATTATTTAGAATGAAAATTAAAAAAGAAGGATTACAGTCCGAATTATTTAGCGATTTGAGAGGAATCTAAAACCTAACGTTGCTGGACCCGAACTTATGTAAAAGAAGCTGAGATATGCATTTATGTTTCCTAGACTTCTAAGTTAGACTGAAGAACTACTGTTACTCCGCTTAAAGTATGACAAGCTGACAATTATTGACATTGCTATAACCAGGGTCTAATGACACCTAACACAATCAAAACAAAGGGTTTCAGATAAAATCTGGAAACTTGATATAGAGGAATCTCTCACTGACATCAACAGTATCATGGATCTGATGTACTACCAGTGGACCAAAAAAGTGACAACAGTTAGACGGAGTAAAATACATTTCATGTAAATAGTAACTCAGCTAACTGTATCCTCTAATCACAGGGAAGGTGATCATGATAAACTGCTTATAAAGAATTTCCAATAGCTCATTTCTTTTAAAGCTAATGTTAATTACGAAATTTTAGAAATTGACAAGTGGATGCGTTCGAATATCTAACTTTTCTCTTATTAATTTTTAATTTTTGAAAGTCAGGCACTTCTGTGATTTCTTAGATAGTAACGGGAACATTTAAAATTACACCTTCAAATAAATTATCCTTATTTTACCGGTAACGTCAGTCTCTTACTGATGACTATGGAAAGCATAAATCTGTTGGAGAGAATATTGAGTCGAATAATTTCTAGAACTTGACCCCTATTTTATGAAGCTATCACAGGTTAAGAATTGCTATTAGATCTTGCAAATAAGAAGTCCTGTTTTGTTACTCATATTGGTTCATAGAATATACCATAACTATTAACACATTATAAAACACATCCGCACTACGAAACGTTTAAACACAAACTTTTTTGTTATTCCTAGGTCCATGCATTGGTTTTATAAGAGTTCAAAGAGTATTTGACTGTCTTCTGTATGTACTTGACAGCTTTACATACAGTTATGAATTACGTATTATGTTCACTAGACACCAGAATCACAGCATAATAAGTTCACCGGATCTAAGTTCTGTCTCGGAAGTTGTTTGATTTATAGACGATAATATTGGTGACAGTCTTAAGTATAATATGTCTTTGTACCGATATTCATTCGAAAATTGTTATTAAATATCAACTACTCAAATGTCATAATATTATGTAGAAATAAGATCCATTCAAAAAAACTTACTACTAATTATTGGAGCTCCATTATAGTACTTACTAAAACCCTGTAATTGTTTATAGACTACATTTTCAGATGATATATTATTCTGTATTTTTGCGATCGGTGGTCTATCCTTTGCCGTAAAATCAGGAGAAGGGTTATTATCTATTGAATGTGATGAAACTGAAGTGAGTTTGTCGAAGCCATTATCAATTAAATTGAACTTCTGTCGTGCTTGACCTTTAAAATTTATAGATGAAATCTCATATTTGTGTTGTGCAGTAGTATTCTGAATCTACATGTTAAATAAAACAAATTCATTGGCAGTAGATGAATATTCGTTCATCATTCCAAACCTTATTTTCTTTAGTTATAACACGTTGTTCTATTCTAATTGAATAGATGTCGATGGGTTATTATTTCATAGAAAATATTTCCACATCCAAAATAAATTAACAACCAGTTAATGTGGAGATCTAATATCTATCATGACAAACTTAACATACCGACACCGAATAAATTTATTTAAACGTCTTAAAAAGTGTATACTGTGATATATATGATACTTCAGGAATTTTAAATGGTAACTAATCATGAAAATGAGCATGTGTTTATTATTATTATCATTATTATTAATGGCTTTATTCAATATTATATTTTGGTACAATATAGAATTCTCAGCACAGAGTATTGATCTTGTGAATTAGATATACATGGAATTAATATTATAAAGGAGACTAACCAATTCAGCATGCCAGAATAAAAGGTTCTTGTTTTTGTAAACTAGTACTAATCTGTTATTAATCTCATCGAGGTACTTTGCAGTCCAACCTCATCTACAAACATCTTTTATTCTTCTGTCATGTTTTAGCTGTTCTATTAGAATGAAATAAAATCCAACTAAAGGGTACTTCTTTCCTTTGTATGGCTTAAATTCCATAGTTACATCTAAATACCACATTGTTTTGGTAACGAAATATCTCGATTTATAAATAATTACGAATATAGAAAAGTTTTGAAAAAAGCTAAATTGGTGGAATCAGCAGAGTGATAAAGGCGATATTTATTATTAGTAAACGGATTTGAAATTAATAACCTTTTTGACACAATCTGTTCATTTTATTTTCGATTATAAACCTATTTTCGCGACTGATAAAAATCTGTGATGATTTGGACAGACTTGTGTACTTAACAAGCCAACACCTTTTCAGGTTTTGTTACTATACTTATATATCAGTATACTTATTAAAGTATGTTTGTATGGAGATTATGTTTATATTCAAGGTAATTTTCATTTCAACCATCTAGGGAGTGACAACTGTCTTATCTTATTTCTAAACCCAGCTGTGTAAACTCACTACCTCATTCGGTCCTTAAGGTCTAACTATTAGACAACAGTATAACTCACAAGAACGTCCAAAAAAATCCATTAGAAAAGGAGGTTGGTAAAATTTTTGAGTGTGAAATGTGTTTTTGAATATTATCTAAACAAATGGTGTAAAATCCAATTGGCATATAAGATACAGTGCCTTCAGTCGGTAATATGAGGAGGTAAACATAAAATAAAAATATGGTCAAAGTATGGTTTCAGAAACAACGTAGGTTGTTATTATAAATAGTAGATTGGTGATGGGTTAGAGGAAATTTCAGCGGTAAGGTATTATAACGACAAAACATTTGTAGCCATTTGTTATGACTGAGACTTGTTACTTGGCATAAATGTATGAGACTGAAACAACTGGATGTACGGAAGATGACTATCTTATTATATCTCAACAAAAACAGGAGTCAGGAACTATAACTAAATTACACTGAACTACATATCATTTGCTTATATGGTCACTGGCCACTGACAGTAAACAATCAATAGCTTTATTAATGTATAAAATTCACAGCATCAAAAGAATAAACTGCTTTCAATATTAGATCCATCCTAACAACATGGCTAAGATATTTTGAGCTGTCTTAAAATCACTATCGTTTCTCAATGAATTCGTCATTTACGATTTATTAGTCAGAAAAGTCTATCTTATCGTGATGTCGTAACCTGGTAGTCAGTTAACAAATAAGAACTTTAATGTATAAAAACAAAAGTGTTCAATGTAACAAAAATCTAACTGGACGTATTTTAGTATTTTAGATGCTCATTTAACCGCAGAATAATAAAAGTACCTCATAAAAGTAGAAAAGAAGCAAAGTTTACACTTACTTCACAGTAGGTTATCGGAACAGAGTTTGGAGCGTTTATCAAATTCATTGGATTTCTAATCTCACTAAGTATGTTTTTGTGACAAAAATCGTGCGTATACATGCGAGAATTAACAACAAGAATCACTTTTAAATGCTGGTACTGAGTCAAAAGAGAAGGTATAATTGCCAACAAAATCCCATAGCCTACTTCTGGATTATCAGCACGCCATGATTTATCTGTTTCACCATTACTGTCTGTAGACATCATTAGTTTAGCGTCAGTGTTTTGCAGTTTTGTTAAATGTAAGTTTTCCGGTATTTCGTCATCTTCTATTTCATCTACTATGATATGTGTGATACCAGCCATAATTCTTGAATCTGCACATATTGTCCTCAGTAGCACTCCATGTGTACAAAACGTCAACAAAGTTTTAAGAGAAACCCTATATCAAAACATCGTTAATAAAAATAGAGATTACAATCATATGATTTTTATATGGGTTCCCACTTCAAAGTTTAATCAGGTCCGAATTATTATAAAACGATGACGTCGTGCATCCCACATTAATCAATTTCATGTTCACTGAAAGTGTTAAGCATGATATCATGATAATATTCCCTGCTACACCTGTCGCCTTATCATCAATTTACACTTTCTAACTATCGTGATTAGTTGTGTAATTATTTTTCATTGCTACCATTGACTGTGCGATTGTAACGAGGAAACTCTGAAAATTGGGTAAACAAAGTCACATTCAGCAACTTAACAACCATTGAGTTGTAGCCGATGCCTAATGATTAAGTTTATTTTTCACCGAAAGACTAACGGATTTTTAAAATGAATTTAATTTGAAGGTTGTTAGTGAATTTTGTATCAAAGTGGAAATTTATTTTAGCATTTAACTTTAAAATACTGTAAACCTGTATTTACTGATAAATAATAATAAATGATAATATTCAGCATCCACCCCTATCTACTATATCTGACCTAATTCATATGATACTACATATTGAGTAATTTCTAATTTGAATTCCATTATTCTCTCTCTCTCACCCCATGTTGACCATATTTATTTTGATCATTAATTTCACAATTTCAGTGAGCTTATAAACTGATTCAAGTTACACATCATATTAGCCAGCCCCAACATTAACGATTTGATTTGGTTTTTACATAACAAACAACAATTCTTGGATGATATACTCTGCCTTATATCTGACCAATTTTATGGATTATTGATTTAGATATGAGATAAATGTAGAACCTGATGAGAAATTCATTGAAAAGAATATTCTTCGTTCATATAATTGTATTTTAATATAATGGGAATTTTTCAGCAATTAAAATCTTGGTATTTGTTTGCTGTTAAACAATCTTTTAATCAGTCATTTGGTATAGTTATTTTTTTAAATACATTCATCTTTCCAAAAATAAAGTTTGTTGTACCATGTAAAAAAAATTCCTGGGTTGTTTGAAACGTAAATGATCTATCTCGTCAGTAATTAAATTTAAATATATGTGGATATTCAAATCTGTGTTATTATGAAAATAAACGGAACAAGTCCTAGATCATTGGTAAATATTATTGGCTTGTATAGTAAAACCATTGTTTACTAAATTCGTTAATCATTCCTTATGATGAACAAAGTTAGTTGACTGTTTTTCAGCAGTTTTGAACAATGGTGAAATAATTATTACTTTTAATAAAAAGTAAAATGATGTAATACTTAATACACCTACTTAGATTCCAGTCGAATTTGATACCCGACTGTTTGACCAGTTGTTTCCCCTCGTATTTGTGCTAAACGATCAGCATTAATATGGGCATACAGACGATATGGTTGGGAGCATATTATACGACAACGATGACTTTGCATGTAGCACTCATCTACTAAAATCTAAGAAATAAAGTTATCAAGACATTGATAAAGATTTATTCCCAGAAGATTTTGTCACCATCTTATCAAATATTTTAGTCGATGATAGATGGCACAAAATAAAACCGACCAGTCATTTTTAGTCAAATAAATCCTCCAGTGATATCTGCACACAAACGTTTGCCCATCAGTTGACGATATAGTTGCATACATTGTGATATGACAACTCATCATTTTTTCGGAATAATATACACTTTCTCACTCTGTTAGACGAAAAACTGCCGAGACCCAGATTGTTAAACCTAAGTGAACTGATAACAAAATTTCACAGGATATGCCACACAAAATAGGACGTATTCTCGAAAAAAGCATGAGTTTCCAGAAAACTTTCGATATATTTTATTTATACGTATAAGAAACAAGGAAGCCTAATCGCTGTGATTAGTTGCAGCACAATAAAATTCAATTCAATGATTATTCGTTCTAATCTACGGCCCATTATCAGCCAGCCAACAATATTCATTGGAGACAAAGGACGACATTCTATGACATTTACTAATAACATTTCGATGTATTATTTTGTATCAGTTTAAAAAATGTAGAGACAAATTATCTCCATTAATCTGGAATAGTACATTTTGTCAATTAATTAAACGCAATTACTATATTAAGCAAATAAACTCAGCTAACAACTATATTTGGAATCGTTTCACTAAGACTTTTAAATATCTGCTCGAAAGAAAATTATAAAATACCTGAGGCAAATAAGTAGTTTTTCCAATTCCAGGAGGTCCTGAGATTATTGTTATTGGATTAGAGTTTATGCAATTGATAATTTGTTCACGGCAATCCTCAATTACGTTTTCTTCTGAAGTATATTTTTCTTTAGTCCAGTGTAAATTCTTCTGTATAGACGATGGTGGCGGAATCTGAGGCACTGTCCCCATAAGTCGTCCCGTGGTACCCCTATATCGTTCTTTTCTGATTTCTGAAACATTATTATCGAAGAGATATTGAACTAATTAGTGTACATTGCTCCTGAAGAATCTTAAGAATTGAACAACTAAATGCGGCGAGACTCTAATTTATAGACGACCTTTGAACGAATCTTTAGCGACCTTGAGAAACATTAGCCAATCAGCAAACAGTCAGTATAGAGTAAAAATATGTTATACAAAACCAAGGAAATAAAGTGGATACGCTTCTTATATATGGTTCAAAAACTTTTCAAGGTTAGAAAGAGGTTCAGAGGTTCTAAAATCGTAACGCATACGGTAGAGGAAATCATCCATACGACTACAGAATAGTCGGCCTCTGGAGCTATGATAAAGTCTCAAAAACTCTTTCAGCCTCGACCACATAGCTCCAATATTGTTTATGTGCACTCCGGTTGTTCAGTGCACAAAATGCTACTTGTGGATAACGACACGATGCACATAACCAAGCCTATGTAGGAGTCTATACGCTCTCCAAACACCCGTATATATTGTAGTACCTGGCTGTAGCCAGTGTTACTGGTGTTTTTATTACCCAGTTCGCAATAATTGTCGTAATTCGCCTTGGTTAGGAATTATATATGGGGTTTTCATCACAAACTGACATCAGCTATAATGCCAGAAATTTATTTAGCCAAATGGACGAAAGGCTTTCGTGTTAAAATCCGAGATCTATTATCTTATACCTGATTGATTCGTCCACAAATTATATTCTCGCCGTTTTATTTGTTATAGCCGCTCAATTATCACGTTTTGTACAAAATTCCATGTGAACCGATCGTACGTTAGCATTAAGCACTGAAGTTGGCGCCGTAACCTTGAAATCTCTAAAACGCCTCTGATTGACCCGTCCATAAATTAGTCTCGCCCTAAATGCTAAACAGTAGCGAATTCGAAATTGATCTGGATTCGTTTTTTTACAGAAGTATATATCTTTAACCATTTTTATAAACACCTCGGCGTTCTCAATATAAACTAGGCTAATTCGCCGTAGGTATAAACATAGTAAATTCAACCTCAAGCTGCCAACTTTGGGGAAATTTTGAGGAATTTTGGGGAAACTTCTCCAATGTTTGGGGAAATTTTGGAGTTTAGGTCTCATTTCCCCAAAATGAGCCGAATTTTCCCCAAAATCGGCAGCTTGGGGGCCCTTTTATTACTTTAAGTTATTTTTAATCTATAATGAAATATATCATAAACCGTTGCCTTTGAACCTTTGATAGCCCAGAAAAATAAACTGTCTGAAGTATCACAAGGAGGATTTTCACTAAAGAAAGCAGAAGCCTAACACTTACCTACCTATATCAACCCATGAAATTCCATCAACTGGAGGATAAAGTTCGAGTTTTTCTTTTGGTGTCACAGGATTATTTTCCAAAAGCTGAATTATCAAACTCTTGCTATCCCATGTTAATGAGAACTTTGTTTCAGAAAGTGTAAATGCGGAAAAAATTGGCGAACATTTTTCACTATCATTCAAGGTTCTTGTGTCACTGAAATTAAAAGTAGACAGGAATAACTGTATAATTTATTCATAAAAATCATAGAAAACGTTTTAATTTGAAAGACTAGGCTATTAGCCGCTCATGTAAATTTGGGTCCAAGCGTATAACAAAAAAACGTTTTCCACAGTTTATTGTGAAGTATTCTACGAATACACTTAAATCTGAATACAATGACACATATATCCTGGACTGTTTTAATAAAATAAAGTGAAGTTAAACACTAGTGTTTTAACAGTATATTTGAGGCATAACTGTCATATAATATTTACGTATTGTATTGAAAAATGTTACTTTTGTTCGGAATTTCATCAAATTTAGGAAACGACAAAATTAGAATACGTGACCATAAGACACCGGCTACAAGACTAAAAAAGTGACACTTGTACTGGGGAATCTACTGTGAACGTGAAGAATCTGAACAAAATGGAACTTTTTTGCCTACAGTTTCTAAGCATTTCTTTTATGTATTTTCATGTTGTGACGAAAATTAATTTCAAAACATGGTTGTAAAAACTTACACCAAATATTGTAGAATTATAAAATATTTGTTTAATACTTTTGAAAATGATTATCAGCTTATCATAATACTAAAATTGAATATTAAAAGTAAGAAAATACCAAATAATTGTCATATACAGTATGACAGTTTGTATCTTGGAATGTATATCTTTCTTAGTATGAACAGTGAAGTATTATGCATGTTTCGTCACCAGAAACCCCCAAAGGGATTCCAGAACTTTGTTCTTAACCTGTCTTCTTGATATGGAGACACGCTAAATTGCAGTTAAAATAAGTTTGATTTTAGTCTACTCTAGAACACAAAAAGCTAAGATGTAAAATCAAAACGATACGTTTCCCTAAAAAACCCTAAATTTAAATTCAGAAACTTAATAACATGAATCATCATTTCAAATCGCAATAGGCATACGAAAAAATAAAGATTCTAACAAAATGCATTCCTTTAAATTTGTTGAATTTAAGTGTTTCAATTAGAATTTAAAAAATGTTTGTCATAGAAAATACAAATATTTAAGCCAGAGGTATATTTGTATGCATTATGATATTTCACTTTCTGTGGTATTTGTACGAACTAATGATTCCTTTGCATTTCATTCCTCGCTGATTATGAATTTCATATACAATATGTTCATTTGCCCTCACGTGGTTCTACATGCTGTGAATTGCAATATTTCAAGAATTTGAATACTTTTAATTATCATATTGATATCTTGATGGAGCCTGTGATTGAAAAATTGGATATACATTCGAATTCTGAAGCTTTTGAAGGTTGCATATCGATAAACGCTTGATTAAATGGAGATGACTTCCTACACTACGTGTCACTTCATTTTCGTTTGCTTCCTTCTCTGCGTTTCCATAATTTTCCGCTTAGATTAATGGTTGTATAAAAAATACATAGTCGAAATTTATTTTCTTATTTCATCCATTTGATCTCGTTATTCATAAACGCGAGGTAAGTCGATGACTATATACGCGAATTGGTGGCATGTATGTTTCGATAACAATCAGCAAGCAATCTATCTAAAGTCACATACCGAGCCACTACAAAAGAAGATACATATGAGTCACTAAAAGGTTAACATAACCAACATATTGATCAAATACGATTTCAAGAACCCGGTGAGTCTGTTCCAATTTTTAATACTAATTAAGAATGCCTTTCGAACTAAAAAAACCCTGCTCAGACATTACAACGATTGATGAACAAGGTCACAAGGGGTTTAGATTCCGTATCCACCGATATTGATGACGTTTTAATCGCTAGCCCACCCATAGAAGAGCACGTACAATATTTAGAGATTCTCTTTGACCGTTGCAAAAAGCATGTCGTCGTCATTAACCCTTCTAAGTGCATATGCGGCGTCCCAGCTTTGGAGTTTCTAGGACATTACATAGACTCACAAGGAATTAAACCACTACAGGAAAAAGTAGGAGCTGTCACCAACTGCCCTGAGCCAAATTGAGTAAAATCATTACGTCGATTCCTTGGAATGTGCAATTTTGATCGACGTTTCCTACTCGATTGCGCAGATACATTACAACCCTTAACAAATTTACCAAAGCTAGATAAAAAAGAAACGAGGCGAAAAAAAGAACGACCTTTTCAAGTTACCTCCTGATGCTAAAACGGCTTTTGAGAAAGTAAAATCTATGATAACCAACGCTTCCATGTTACAACACTTAAACACTGACCTCATGACTCATCTTATTCTCTGCACTGATGCATCTCAGAAAGCTGTAGGGGCAGTACTGCAACAACGAGTCAACGACATTATTACACCCGTATAATTTTTCTCCAAACGACTGTCACCTGCACAGAACGTTATAGTACTTCCAGATGGGAACTACTAGCTATTTATTTAGAAGTAAAACACTTCAACGTTCTATTACAAGGACGCGGGTTCACTATAATGACCGACCACAAACCTTTATGCTATTCGCTTGACACGTCTTATGATCGACATTCACCACGCGAAGCAAGACAACTGGATTACATCTCACAATTCACTACAGATATGCAGTTTGTCAAAGGACATTCCAAGATTGTTACAGACGCATTATCAAGAAAGTACATTAACATGCTGGTACAAAAACATGACATTAGTCTCGAAACTATAGCGAAATTAAAAGTAGACGATACTGATCTAAAAACCTGCAAAGAAAAGTCTAACTTGATTCTCGAGCCTGTACTCATTCCTTTGTCAGGTTCATCTATCGTTTGCGATATTTTAACTAGCAATAACCTCTCTTTTATACCAAAAGCTTGTCGAAGACAGGTATTCCGACAGTTGCACGAACTTTCACATCCGAGAATTCCAGCCACCACAAAACTCATTACGGAACGTTTCGTCTGACCCAAAATTAACTTGGATATAAAGCGATCGACAAGAAGCTACATACGGTGCCAACGCAGCAAGGTAAAAAGACACAAAGTCAGTCCTATTGGGAAATTTCCACTACCTGATAAACGCTTACAGCATTTTTATTTAGACATAGTTGGTTCCCTGCCACCATCAAACTCATCTACGCATATTCTCACCGCGGTGGACAGGTTCACAAGACGGAAGACAGCATACCCTGTCACAGATACATCCGCAGAAACACTAGCAGCTATATTCCTTGATCGATGGATATCAAATTACGGACTACCCTCAATCATCACTACAGACCGTGGTCCCCAGTTTCAATCCATCCTATTTCAGGAATTTATCAAACTTATGAGAGTAAACCACATCAAAACCACAGCTTATCATCCGGTAGCTAATGGTCTGATCGAAAGATTTCACAGACAATTGAAAAGCTCACTAATGGCACAAGCTGACATATTAAAGTAGAACGATGCACTACCACTCGTACTCCCTGGAACTCGTTCAACCATCAAGGAAGATATAGGTTTCAAATCAGCTGAACTAGCTTATGACAAAACTCTTACATTACCAGGTCAATTAGTAGACCCAGACACACCAATATCAATTGATCCAATTCGCTTTGTGAGTCGTCTACTACAAATGATGAAAAGTATCAATGCAATACCGCCGCGTGAACATAATAATCGGATACAACTTGACAAACGCATAGAAACGTGTAAATTTGTCTTTGTTCGCGTCAAAGCAGCTAGAAAGCCATTGAAACAATCTTACGAAGGACCGTACCAAGTGATTAAAAGAACAAACAAACACTTCATCATCAGCAAGTTCCGAAAGGAGACTATCTCTATAGATAGAATAAAGTCAGCCTTCTACGAAGTTTAACAAAACAAATAAGACAGCACAGCAGATAAACAACCCCACACAGCAATCACTATGAGATCAGAAGAGGGTGTAAAACCGAGCATTAAGCCTACTTTTTCAACACGTTCAGGCAGAACTGTAAAAAAACCCAAGCGTTATGTACATTTTGCTGAATATGAAAATCAAATTAATCATTGATATATCACACCGTTAAATTCACTCAATTTTCCAGTAAAAACTAATGTTTTTTACACGTGTATATAACTACTCACATTTTTCCACAGTTACTCGTTTTGTCACATTTCTTTTACAAAAAAATTTGTCACAATAATAAACGAGTGAATTCTAGTTAAATATTTATTAATTGTACATAAAAATAGAAAATTCAATTTTTTTGTGAGTTTTATTAATGGTTGTGCACGTTATTATTATTGTTGCCAAACTAAGACACGGAATCGTATTTCCATTCATTATTGTCGTGCTATACTATGTCTATGTCACTACACTCTTACATATTGTATAATTCTAGTGTGCATGTCATACTCATCTTCACGTTCTTTCGTTATTATTGTAAATCGTATTTTGCATACATGCATATACTATATTCTTACAATTTTTTTGTTACAACCAGTGTAACCTCCAGACACTCTGGGGGGAACTATATAGAAATAGGCATGACAAACTTATTTTGTAAATAGTTTTTGATGTTATTTGTATTTATTTTGTTAATCTTTAGTTTTTATATTTACTACAAAATGATTGTACATGTTGTTTGAGTACATGACATTGAACTCACTTACTTCCGTTGCGTTACACGCATAGCATGACACACGCTGTTAACTGCTAGCAAATACACTACTATACACAGATCTCTCGTACTCTATTGCTTGTGATTGTGATAAGTGAACTCTAAATCATCTACGTTTACAGACTGCAGCCACATTTACACTATATTCTACGTTTGGCTATATTACTGTAAGTACAACAATCTTATTGGAATTATCAATCATCTCTAATTGTGGACACTGGTACCAAACTGTGGTTTCGAATGAACTAATGGTTCCCTTGTACTTGTCAAGTGCTTGATTTCGAATTATAAATACAATACATTTGTTTGTGCTTACTTAGCACTTATTGATCCGATTACGTTATTTCTGAGATTCTTAGTTCATACTATAATTCACATACTCCTAATCATCATATTGGCGTCGCGATTGAGCCTGTGATGGAACGGTTGGACATACATTCAGATTTCGATGCTTTTGAGGATTACTTTGAAAGGTTCGAAATCTGGGCTGTGACCAAGGAAGATGATGAGGATGTTAATATTGTAGCATATTTCCTCACATTCATAGGAAAAGAAGCATATAGCTTATTAAAAACTCTGACTTTACCATTTCGCTTTCTCATACAACTCTCAAGGAACTACTGCTAGACTATGTTAAGTATATTAATTTCGAATGTGGTAAAGGAGGAAGATTTCTTAAAATGATTCATGAGGATATAAAAAATTCAACTGCATTACGTCATCCCAACCCAGTGCATACTGAAGGTTATGCAGATAATTCATTGAGGAGGTGCGATGCAGTTCACGGAGATGGGCATACGTTTGGTCAATGTTTGTTCAATGCAGGTTCCACTCTTTTGGTTCATGTAAATTTTGTAATTCTAAGTACTTTAAATGTGGTGATATTGGACATATTCGGTCAGTCTGTAATACCAACGTTCATCTTATTGCAACTAATATTAAGTCTTTTAATTCTGATTTTACTTAGTTGAGTATTTATAATGATCATTTATCTTTATCAACGATTTTAAAAGACAGTGTAGAGTCATATAGCAGTTTGGAGTTAAATGAAACTCAGAATTCTTGCGAGACAACAGTTTCTAATCAATCAACTTATCAGATTTCTCATGTTATTGTACCAGATATGGTTTTTCTTAATGATTCACATATTTCTGACAAAATTCCTTGCAAATCTGAGGAAAACATGTTGAGTGAACATAATTATGATCGAAAACCTGATGTAGTTTTGAAAGATGCTGATTATTCTAATGATCCTTTACTCTGCAATGATATTCTTAATAAATTTGAGGAAACTATTTCAGAAGAATCAAATCTTGGTGTCATGTCAAATATTTGTTTCTTGTGGGAAACTTGTTCAACCCGAAGCACAAGTACTAAATGAGCTCGATTATGATTACAATTCGGATGATTTCATATCAACTGATGTTAATCCTTATCACGAAGTCACTTCTAATGTTTACTCTAGTCAACGTAAGAAATATATTTTAAATGAAGCCACATCATTCATAACTTGAGGATATAAAGATCCAACATTATTTCGTGGGGGAGGATAGTGTTGGGAAATTTGTGCTTTAAATTCTAGATAGTGATTTGGTACACAATCGACACGGCGATTGCATACAATCCCAGGAACCAAGTGAGTCTGTTCCGATTTCGGTTGTTAATTCCAATAATAATGGGTACATTCTAGATAATACAGAGTTTTTATCCAATACATTGTCGGACAGACATAGGATGAACTTAAGAAGACGTACAATCGATTACAGACACTTAGACTCTAATTTAAACTGTGACGGATGTGGTGTTTGAATAAACTAATGATTCCCTTGTACTTGTTGAATGCTTGATTTCGAATTCCAAATACAATACATTCGTTTGTGCTTATTCAGTACTTCTTGATTCGATTATGTTATATCTGGGATTCTTAGTTCATACCATAATTCAAATACTCCTAATCATCATACAAACGCAATCTGAACACGCCTAAGCCAGCTAATCCAAGTAGCGTACCCGAATTTTTTGTGTGCTTATAACGTATAACTGATATATTGTAACAGTATTGTCTATACGCAATAACTTTTTTACTATTTTTGAGTTCATATATTGTTTGTTCCACCACAGTCTACATCCAATACACAGTCGGACATACGCACTATTAACCTAAGGAGAAAAACATAGTCGATCACAGAACTTTGGATTCCCATTTAGGCGGTGGAGGTTGTAAGTTTTGTACGAACTAATGATTCCTCTGTACTTGATTCCACACTGATTATAAATTCCAAAGAAAGTACGTTCATTTGTGCTCACCTAGTTCTACATGCTGTAAAGTGTACTATTTCGGAAATTCTTGGTTAGCACACTGATTTGAATACTTTTAATCGTCATGCTTATTCAAATGCAAATCATGTGCTACGTTAAAATTTTGCGGAAACCGTTATGATGATTATCTGATTTAAAACGCATATGTGATGATTTTTCACCATTTCATTAACGAAATACACCTTCAAGAACTGGCAACAACCATAAGTGTGAGTTGAGTATATAAAATTCCACAATTTAGTATCACCTGTATATACCTTACAAGGGTAATAAATAATTGCATATGAATGCTGGCAATTTCGTTTCTCTTAAAAAGTCAGTGTGCGGGAAAAAATAACATTACCTGTCTAGTTTGGAACACATTCTAGTTAAGCAAGCTTCAATATAAGCCAGCGCTTACCTTTTAGAGGCAAAAGAAGTTTGGGGATTAAGGGATACCCATTTACTCATCAATAAATTCCCCATAGCGACAATGATTTCATGTCGAAATTCTTTGGATAGATCGCTAAACTGTTTGTTATTAACAATGGATAGTATCATGTTCTCAATGTCGTACTGAAGAGTCCCTTCGTTGTTTGAATGCTTCGAGTTTGCTTTGCTTTGCTTCATGGTTACGAGCGATATCTCATTGATCATCTGAAAAAGTGCCAATCTGTTCAATAAAAGCAAGAATATAAGCTTTCACTAGGATTTGTGGTAACTTGCACCAAATTCAACTTTTAATGACAATCCCAATGACTTTTAATAAATGATACGCGATAATGCCTGAGGCTTTTAGGTAGACGTTCATTTGGAGTATGCGTTACAAGTGCCCACAAGTGTTTTCTTGAATTTTAGGTTTGTCTTGGTGTTGTTCATAATTGTAAGAATTAGGCAGTAACGTTGTATTACTCACCAAAACGCTACCTTTTCAGTCAAACGGATTGTTAAAAGCTTTTCTGTAGTTTTTGTAAGCAATGATGGATAGTGGCTAGCAGTGGAACCCAGGACGCGCGTTTAGTCCTATTTGGGATTCGTCAGCTGGATTGACCTGCATCTCAGAGTTGATGTTCGCTCTGGGACTCGAACCTAGCACCATCCGCTTCAAACGCCATCGCGTTATCCACTCAGCTATTGAGTCCTGTTAGCCAATTGCTTATGTAAGGGGTGAATTTAAATTCACTTGGTATTGTTTTCCTTGTATCTTCCCATCGAGGTTTAAGACTGCCATTGATCAGTCTGTTATTGGCATATTAATTGCTGAAACAAACGGTCGAATAACAGTATGAACAGAGAGATTATTTCTTGAAAAATAACAACCATAATTTAGTTTTTGTGTACAACTTTATTGCTTCCGAAGTCTCACTGCAGATGATGGTTGAAGTGCACCGCTTCCGGCAACCTAGTTTATTAACAAATATGTGATAAGAAACACCACTACACTGTTGACCTAATACTCAGAATGTTGACCAAATTGACGGATGATATAGAGTCTCATATAGGGATGATTGTGTTCTTACTGTCTGTAACCACAAAAGACCCAGATTGCCATTAAAAATTCTGACACTGTAAATTAACTGATTAATAGTTGACGCGGAGTCGTAAATGCGTGACTTCGACTTCACTCATATGCTCAGCACACACTTATATGAATTTCATACTTGATGAGACCTGAAGACGTATAATTTGACAAACGTCTATGTTTCCTAAAACGCAAACTGATCATGAGGTCACGTTCAATGTCAAGTTCAGGACTGGAAACTTGTGATGGCTACTGCAGTCAATACATACCAACTATCGCAGTGAAAGTTTGGTAATTATTCACAAACTATGCGGTATATACTTTATTTAAGGAACTGCAATATATTTTTACACTGAATGTGTTTGGGTAAGATGCCCGTTTGAAATTCTAACCACTATAAATCAATATTTTATCGATAATGTTAAGGCTTATATTAATGAAGCATCAACTGCCGAGACGGTTATTTTACTTTAGATTTTCATGGACTAGCAAGAATAAAGTATACCGACAAAAATATTCGTGAAATAACTTTCATACCTTTTCTTATCTGGGTAATATATTGAGACAACAAATATCAATTCAAAATACTTTTTATGTTATACGGTATGCCATCCAGTCGCGAAACAAATTCAGGTTACAACTAACTTACATACTTACGCCTGTTACTCCGTCTGAAGGAGCATAGGCCGCTTAGTAGCATTCTTCATCCAACTCTGTATTGCGCAATCCTTTCCAGCTCCTTCCAGTTGTCATTCATACTTTTCATATCTGATTCTGTGTTCTTTGGCCTTCCTCTTTCCCGTTTCCCTTCAGGATTTTAAGTTAGGGCTTGCCTCGTGATGCACTTTGATGATTTGCGTAATGTGTGTCCTATCCATTTCCATCGTCTTTTCCCAATTTCCTCTTCAGATCGAATCTGGTTTGTCGTCTCCCACAAACGGCTGTTACTGATGGTATCCAACCAATGGATGTTGAGTATCTTGCGTAGACAACTATTTAATAATACTTGTACCTTGTTGATGATAGTTGTTGTAGTTCTCCAAGTTTCAGATCCGTACAGTAGAACTGCCTTTACATCCGTACTGAAGATTCTGACTTTGATATTAGTTGAAAGTTGTTTTGAGTTACACATGTTCTTCAACTGTAGGAATGCGACCCTTGCTTTGCCAATTCTCGCCCTTACGTCTGCATCTGAGCCTCCTTGTTCATCGATGATGCTTCCCAGGTATGTGAAGGATTCTACATCTTCCAGAGTTTCGCCATCAACAGTGATTGGATTGCTGTTCTCCGTTTTAAATTTGAGGACCTTGGTTTTCCCTTTGTGTATGCTGAGGCCTACTGATGCAGAGACTGCTGCTACACTGGCTGCCTTTATCTGCATTTGTTCATGTGTATGTGATAGGAGGGCTTAGTGATCTTCGAAGTCCAAATTGTCCAACTGGTTCCTTTCAGATGTCGAGGTCCTCATAATCCAGTCGACCACCAGAAGAAAAAGGAAGGGAGAGAGTAGACAGCATTGTCTGACTCCAGTCCTTACTTGAAATGCGTCTGTCAGCTGTCCCCTATGCATGACCTTGCACTGTAGTCCGTCGTATGGGTTGCGGATAATATTGACAATCTTCTAAGAAACCCCGTAGTGTCGAAGTTCCCATAACGTTCGCCTATCTGCACTGTCAAGTGCCTTTCTACAATCAATGAATTTGATGTACAGTGTTGAGTTCCACTCGACTGATTGTTCGAAGATGATCCGTGGTGTCGCAATTTGGTCTGTGCACGACCAATCCTTACTGAATCCAGCTTGTTGATCTCGAATTTAGGCGTCTACTGCATCTTTCATCCGGTTCAGCAACGCTCTGTTAAATACTTTCCCTGATACTGACAGTAGAGTAATGCTTCTGTAGTTTTCACATTTTCTCAGATCTCTTTTCTTTGAAATCTTGATGACGTTTCTTTTTTTCCAGTCCATTGGCACTTGTACCTCCTCCGTAATCTTTTTGAGTAGAAGGTCAAGCATGTTTTTAGTTACTTCGATGTCTGACTTCAGTGCTTCAGCTGGTATGTTGTCGGGTCCTGCTGCTTTCCCTCTCTTCATTTGTCTGATGGCCATCCTGATTTCTTGGATCGTTATAATAATGATAATAATAATTTATTCTCAAATAACAGTTTGTTACATGAGGCATGCCAGTTTACAGGCAAGATCAATTGATACAAATGATACAATATCCACTGTAGTAAATAACACAGCTGGGTTGATAATTTATAAGATATGAATGTAGATGGTTTTAATCAGTACTACAGTTGGCGCGCTTTACGAAAGTTGCGTTGCGAATGTGCAACTGATGGTCAATGATAGGTCCATTAAAGGTGGGAGCTTCTAAATGTCGCAATCTTATGTCCCTTTGAGATGTCTAAGGCTTTGAGGATGGTGCAGGATGAAATCTTTCGTTCCATATCACAAGGGAGCTGAAAGAGTGAGCAAGTAAAAGAAAGGACGAGAGGCAGAGTAGCCAATATTCATGAAGGAATGTTTAAGGTATGATTACTCAGTCCAATTTTCTTTTATTAAGGTATTTGTTAAGAAAGAGCATTTTAATAGGTTAAAGAAAATAAGTGTTAACAAGGTGTGTGTGTACATACAACTGACAAATGGAAGCGATTCGCAAAGGAGCTGAGAGTATGGGATTATGTGTGATTATAAAATAAAATATAGTGCTAGAAACAGTATTGTGATATACAATTGGCTATCTTCCTTTTATTATCGAAGCTATTAGAGCCCCTTTCGTTTTTTTATATTATTATTTTTTTCAGGTATTATAGGGTCTTGAGTAGGCTTCGTATATTAGCGAATTGTCTAGTTGGTGAATTGACACCTATAGTAAGATCTATGTGTGCTGCTTCAATGTCCGGTGGATTCACTGGAGCCGACCTATTCAGGAGTTCCTCAAAGTACTTTACCCATCTGTTCCGCTGTTGTTGAATTTCAGTGATTGGCCTGCCTTCTTAGTCCTTGACCGGTCTCTTTGGTTTACTATATAACCCTGCTAGTTTCTTCGTTGTATCGTAAAACTGTTTCATGTTTCCTTCTGTTGCAGCTTTTTACTCCGTCGTTGCTAGTTCTTCCACGTATTTCTTCTTGTCGGCTCTAATGTTCTTCTTCACTTTCTTGTTTGCTTCTATGTATTCAGCTTGTGCTTGGACTTTCTCGGTTCGTGTTCGGCTGTTGTTAATTGCTGTCTTCTTGTCCTTCCTTTCTTTGATCTTGTCCAGTGTTTTTGTAGAGATCCATTCCTTATGATGGTATTTCTTTAGACCGAGAACCTCTTGACACGTTGAAGTTAATGCTTCCTTGATGCCTTTCCAGTTGTCCTCCATAGTAGTTTCTTCTTCCTTCAGTAGATCCTGTAAGGCTTGGAACCTGTTGTTGAGAGCTATCTTGAATTCATTGAGTTTGACAGTATCTCGAAGGGAGGCTGTATTGAACCTTTGTAATGCTGTTTGTCTAGTTGTCCAGTTCTTCTTTAGCTTCAGTTTTAAATTGGCTACAACTGGGTGGTGATCTGAAGCTACGTCAGCACCTCTCCTGGTTCTCACATCTTCCATTGTCCTTCGGAATTTTTTGTTGATGCAAATATGATCTATCTGGTTCTCCGTAGTGTGGTCCGGTGAGACCCATGTGGCCTTGTGTATACGCTTGTGTGGAAATATTGTGCCAATTTGTTGAATACACACAGATTTGCAAATCTTTCCTCATTTTCGTTTCTCTCTCCCAGTCCATGTCCTCCCATGATATCTCCATATCCGGTGTTGTCTATTCCGACTTTGGCATTTAGATCTCCCATTAGAATGGTGAGGTCGTTTCTTGGGCATTTCTCTATGATTGACTGCAGCCGCTCGTAGAATTGATCTTTAATGTCGTCGTTGCTATCATTGGTGGGTGCATAACATTGGATAATGATGCTTTGATGATTCTGGATCCGTGAGATTCCCATTCAACAAATGCATTTCGTGCTACTTTGGACATCATAAGAGCGACTCCCTGTGTGTGTGAAGCATTTTCCTCTTTGTGACCGGAGTATAGCAGCATCTCTCCCGTATTTAGCCTTTGTTGTCCAGTTTGGGTCTAATGTGTTTCGCTGATTCCCAGT